TTAAATGGAAGTGATCCAATGATTAGTCCCAATAAAATGAAAAATGACTTCTCCCCTTGTTAACTAATTCCATGAAATATTCCTGTTTGACAATTTGAAACTAAATTTTGTATTAAAATATGGACCATAAAGCTTAGATAGAGAACACTTTCACCCCTCCCACCCATGGGTGCCTCAGCAATAGAGCAGGCAGAGCAGCTGCATCCCGACTCTTACACTCATGTTATTGCAAACCCACTTTTTGATCATAAAACTTCAATCAAATATCATTATATCTGGCAGTTTCATATGATTTAAAAATTATTCATAAGCCATTTTCTCATTTGAACAGTGTGAACCGAGGTAGCTTGTCCTCATTGTGGACCCGACCCGTCTCGAAACACAGACCCCGTCTTGTTTACAATGCTTTGTGGGTGTGACTTTTTTTCCATGTTAACAATTTTGCTCTCAAAGTGCACCAGATTGTCTTCTGGGGAGCAAGATCCCGGACCCGCCTAGAGGGTCAGAGGTCCACCCACCACAGTCTCCTGTGGTAAACACACTAATATAAACTGAGCGTTCTAGTGAATGATTGAAGGCTCTATATAGCAGGAACTAGAATCAAATTACATTTTCCTCCCTTGCTGAGACAACACATCAATGAACTAAAGAAAAACACCCTGAAGACAACGTTTCACTGGGTTTAAAGGTGAGCACAGACTCACCTGTGTTAAATATTTCCCCGAGGGATGCAGGACCTTTATGGACAGGTCTAAGATGAGACGCAGGAACTCCCATGTAGAGTCTACGACAAGCAGTCAGACAGTCAGTTAAGCAGCATTTATGAAACCTCACAGAGGATGTGTATATGTAGAGAAAAATACAGACACCTTCTTCTGGCTCCATGGATATTGGGATTGCAGTCAGGTCATTAATTACGTAATCAAACGTCTTCCCTTCCTGGACATACTTCTTCAGCACTGGGACGCAGTCCTCTACTAGTATCTGTAAAACAGAACGACAAGGGTGTAAAATGTTTTACGGAGGACAACGCCTTGTGTTAGATCCCGTTTGGGCACATTTCACAGATCCAGTTGAGGAACGCGTGTGAGGCAAAGCTTTTGACGGCGATAACATCTGAATGCTCATTCAGCACTCACTTGGTAACAGTCTCCCTCCAGGTTGTCGAGAATATTGCCACAAGTTCCTCTCATGTACTTTTTGCATGCGTCGATCACCTTCTGGTCAATGTGCACACTTTGTAAAGGAACGATCAATCAGGTGCAGATACACAATTACACAGATCAGTGAGAGCTGCGTGAGAAAACTATATTGCCTCAAAAACAACTAAGTCCCGAAACAGGAATAAAAAAAAAAAAAAAGACAAAAACACGTAAAGGATATATCCAACATGGTGACCATCTTTGGCTTTTGTTTGGCCATCTCAAAAAGGATGCCTCCGTCACCTCCTCCTAATATCAGCACCTCCTTTCCAGTATAATTCTCTCTTCCGCTCCCCATGATGGCGAGGGTGTAGGCCAAGTCACTCTCTGCCAGGTCTGCAAGGCAACATAATCATTTAGACACAAAATAAATGAAAATACTTAGACATCATAAAATAAACTCAAACGTAAAGGTTTGATTTTTTGAATCGTTTAGATTAAATCGATTTTTCGGAAAATAGTAAATATTTCAATTGATAGAAAGTTTTCCTTAGTCCTATAACTTACACTTTAAAAATATCTTCTATCAATTGATGGATCCAAACTGTACATTGTGTCTTAAAATGAGAAACGTGTATTTCAGTGTCGTATACACTTACTTAAGTCGTTGTCGAGTATTAGGGCGTTTCCATACTGCTGTGAGTGCAGTATCTTTATGTTTTGGAATGCAGAATCTTCCTCATACACCAACTGGTCCATGTCATACTCAACCAGTCTGCCGTCAGTTGTGGGCCAGTATCGGTCAACCTCTGCTCCTCGTATGAGGGCTGGGAGCCTTGGTGTGAATGGTGAACACCACAAGTAATCAACATTACTGCGACATGAGCGCTGTAATGAAGTAACAACACGAGCAAAGCCAGAGATCTCCAGATACTCACCTTTTAATCCGGGTTATATTGCCATCCAAGATAACCTTTAGCTTCGATTCCAGTGCATTTAAAAGCTGTGGAGGAACAACTTTTGTTAGAAAAATATCCAATTGTGATTATTTTGTCGGATGAGTCTACTATTAGAGGCACATTTGTACTTTTAGAGGACGGACAAATAGGCCATCTATGAGAAAAGGCATGTTTGGGCACCTGAGGCCAGTAGACAAAATGTTCAGGCAATAATATTGGACATACTGATTTATCTGTCACATATCCAAAAGCTATTTAAGAAGGTGAAGTTATATGCTGATCTTACTTTAGCTACATCTTGCAATCATTTTTTGGCACAGAGTTGTACGGTAAAGAGAGCTTCATGAGTGATAAAAAAAAAAAAGTTATTTATCCCGACAAGCTTAAACTTTAATAACATCCTTCCTCTGTGTTTTGGGCTTTAGGAAATGGTAGAAATATTGTGTATTTATTTTTTAAATCACCTACATTGTCTACTTGTGCAACGTCCTCCTCCTCATAACACTGCAGATCAACGGTGACCAGCCCATGGGAGGGCACACGCAAAATGGCAAGCCTGAGAAATGAAGTGGTGAAGACAAAGAGATGACACAAAGCAATAAAGTGAAGACATTTTGCTAAATTGACCCAACAATGGAAAGCATCATTACATCCACCGCACCACACCAAAGCACAATCCTCCTCAGTGCGTTCAGAGCACCAAACAGTCTTAATTTCCCCAGAGGCTAAACTAACTAAGAGACGTCTCCATTCTCAGCTACTTACCATCAAATTAAAGGCATCTGTTCCACAGAACAAAGAAAACACAACGCTTTAGTTCAACAAAAATAAATAAATACATGTTTCTCTTACCAGCCATTCTTGCCTACAAAAGTACCCAGGTATCCATGGCCATTTGTTTCATGGACAGTCTCTGTCATTTGCTGCTCGTGAAATATGGACAGTAGCTCAGGAACTGTCGAGGAAGAGTCAACTGGGAAAGGAGAGAAGTCAGAACAGTGAAAATGTATTCCTATTTCCCAGTAGTGATGACTTCATGAACGTCTTTAATGATAAGATTCTTTCTACCCGTCTCTTAGATCCCTAGGCTGCTTAAAGAAGTTTTACCTTTAGTTAGCACCTCTTTACTAGATACGATCAATCTGTCTTTACGAACAGGCCACGTACCGCAGTCCTTCAAAGTAGCTGTAACTAAACCTCGTTAAGAAGCCATCTCTTGATCCAGATGTGTTGGCCAACTATAGACCGATCTCTAACCTTCCCTTGTGTGACTTTATACATAGCAATACCTTCTAATTGCATCAGACAAAGGACGTGTCTGTCCTCGTCTTGTTAGACATTAGTGCTGCATTCGATGCCATTCTATTCTACTACTAGTACATCTGATTGGCATTAAAGGAACCGCACTGAGCTAGTTTAAGTTCTGATTATCAGATCGATCATTGTATAAATCATTTACATCATATGCATTGGATATGTTGTAACTCTATTATGTTGTTTATTCTGTATGACATCTATTGCACTTCTGTCCATCCTGGGAGAGGGATCCCTCATTGGTATAGTTCATTAAATAATTATCACATAACATTAGTCACATACTTACTTATTGGTGACTCAGTACAACTTCCTGTAACTGCTATTTTGAGAAAAGTAGCTTAAAGCCAGTCTAAGAGCTCAGTCACACTTGAACCACTTAAAAGTCTACTTGACCCAGTCTCGGCATCAGCCCACTAACTGGTGTTCGACTTAACTTTTTTCTTAGATTCTCAAGACACAAAAAACTACAAAAATGGCGCTGCTTCCTGTGCGCCAACGCTGGCTTTGAACACACTTTATTCACAATGGGTTCATTGAGTCTTCTAATCAGAGCAACGAGACCGAACAGACGTCAACTTAAAACGTGTAACTCACACAAGAACATGCACGTGACATTATATGTTTTACGTGCAGCGACTTTCAGCTATGAGCCCCGACTTGTCGCTACAATTCATGCATGTGCCATTATCAGCCATGTTTCATCAGAATCAATAAAGCGTTACAGTTTTGAAGGGCAGTGACATACTAGCATTATTAGCAGGCTAGCCAGCTAGCTAGCGTGCAGCCCTCGGCGGTGTTCAGCTGCTCGTTGCGCTCGTCTTACCTGCCGCAGAGAGCTTGAAGTCGAGAGTGTAATGTCGCAGTGCCATGTCGCAGTGCAACTGTTGTCCATGCCTGGAAATAGGCAGGCTGCGAGTACTTATCTGCAGAGACAGAGGGGAGGGCCCTGCTACCACTGCTTCTACCGTTGAACACTACGCCGGACGAACCAGGAACTGTGCTGCTGAGTGTGACAGAGCAGAGAGTAAAAACACGAGACAAGAGAGAAATCTTCCTCCCTTGTTTATATGGTTTCATGCATTGGCGGCCGAAGCGGAACGAAAAAAGTAGATTCCAGTTTAAAGATAAGTCGATTTAAATCGATTACTCTTTGATTAACATTTACATTCACCGGGTTACATTTACTTATTTAATAAAATCTTAAATAATGTCACACAAGAGACACTCGTGGTTTTTAGTCTAAAAAAAAATGACTTTCACTGTTCACTATCTTGAACTGGGATCCAAAAACCTGGGAAACGTTCAGTAACGGCTGCAATATGTGTGTGTGTGTGTGTGTGTGTGTGTCTAAATATAAGAAAAAGTATGAGGGGAAAAAAAATAGAACTGACACATTTCCAAACGTCAATTTTATTTATATAAGTGAAATGGGCTCAAAATACATTAATCTTCTTTTATCCTAACATAGATATAAAGCACAGTAACAACTAGATATTTGAAAGAAACACAGTACATGCACAAAAGTGGATGATGCTGAGATTTGGAGCAGCCATAGTAGGTCAATTTGTACACATGTTAACTGAAACTAAATGAGAAATCTGATGCAGATCTATTTTCATCCATTCAAGGTTATACAATAAGAATACTTCAACATTAGAAATGTCTCCCATTATTATCCATGGTGTAGGTGACATATCATTCTTTCATGGCTTGTATTAGTTTAGTATATACATTGCATATTATGCATTCTTGCAAATCTTTAACCAATTCACTGTCAATCACAATCACATGACCTCAGGATTATTGGAAAAAAATGGTATGTAATTGCAGTGCAATTTTTACATGACAAATTACGAACAAGGCAGATTCGCACAGGAGCGAGATCACAGACGACCTCTGAAATGAGTACAATTACAAGAGGTCCCCAGGAAATACTAGGAAACTACTAGAATAGGGCTTTAGGTTAAAGATCGTGGTTTGGGTACTCAGTTATCTCAGGGGGTGTGTTGTGTTGTCATGTAGCCTGCAAGACTGCAAATAGACCTTTCTCCAAAAATCTGTTATTGCAGGTTTAAAGCATAGACTGTTTAAAATATGGACGTAGTCTCTGTGACGTCACCCATAGGCTTCTGGAGACCTGAGACGGAACCGAAAGTTGGGCATTTTAAAGTGCGGGTCTATGGAGATTTAGCCTCAAGTGACCATTTGAGGAACTGCAGTTTTTCAAACTTCCTCGTTCAATTCATTTTTCAGCACTGGAGGTTGCTGCTTGGTTTAAAGGCATGGTTTAAAAAACAATTTACCGACTCATACAAAAATAATCCCTCTCAATCATCATTGTGACCTAGAAGTTTATGGCGGTGTCTGTATCTGCAGTGTATTCTGTTGCATGTGTTCAAAGCGTTTCCGGGCCCCAACCTATATAAAAACAAAGCAACCAGGTGCCAGATCCTAAGCACACTTCCAAGAGGAAGCTGCCAAAGTTGGTGGATCGCAGGGCCGAATAAGATGCAAATCTAGCCAAGTGGACGAAACCTCTTTCCAAAACGAGAATGAATGTGGGGTTGGCTTTCACACACTGGCGATTGTAAGATTCTGATGTAGTTGAGCCAGGGAGGAGGGGCCAACTTTGAATTTTGTGTTGTTGTGTTCATGATAAATCCTACTTATTCTGCCTTTAAAGTATTGACTGAATTTCATAGCAACTTTTTTTCCCCTAAAAAAGCATATTTATTGGAGGCCGTCCTCTGGTTATGTCATTTTGACTGATCATGATGACATTTTAAGTACATTTTCAGCATCATTAAAGCTATCCGTATCCATAGCCTCTATGCAGCACATCATTAGAAAGTAAATCCACCACAATCAAAAGCATCAAAATCAGAGTCTGCCACTTCAAAGTCAAAGCTGTTATAGTGAGGGGAGTCGAGTGCAGGGCTGCCGGTGTTGTACGCTCCTGTTGCTCCCATGCCAGGGAAATCCGTGTTGAGTGGCAGGTCAGGAGCTTTGGCTTCCAGATTAGGGAGCGAGCATGTGCCTAGGTAACCCATGGCAGAGGAAGCAGCAGCCCCTCCCATCAGCAGATAAACCGCCCTCACCGCCTCGGCATTACTGATCGTGCCATGGCGCAGACACCCAGCTGAATTCTGTGCACCTCCCTTGTAATACTTTGTACGGGGAGAATTTCTGCCTGTTGGGATCGAGTGATGTGAAAAAAACAAACATGTGACTCAACTATTTACCCTGATTACTTACAAGAAACAGTTAGAGACAGAATAAACACACTTAACTCACCTTTCTCCCTTGGGGAAGAACAAGTCAGAGGCCCTGGGGAGGGGGCCTCTGTGTTGCTGACAGGTGGAGTTTGTTGATCTATGTCCAGGATTTGCTCCGGCACCAGATCTTGGAGTTTAATGCGTGGTGGTGGCACCTGATGACGCCTACACGGACTGATAGGTGATGAGAGACTCTACAGGAGATAAAATAAGAACACTGTTGAGGAAAAATATGGGTTTGCTAAGAATTACAAGGATTTAATTTAGCAATTGATTGAAAAATCAAGACATGCTGAGTGAATATAAGTTGTGTAAAGACAGAAAATAAAATGTTTTTTATTCTAATGGTGATGTCTAAGTATAGACTCACAGAGCCGCTAGTGTGGCTGTAGACTTTATTAGGATTACACATTTTCCAAAGCAATTACATTCACAAATATGTCTTATAAACTTACCTTTTTCACTTTTTTCAGTATATTCAGCCATTGACTAAAAAGTGATGAAAAAATGCTTCTGTTATTACCTACATACAAATCAAACATCCATCAACATGATCAATTTTGATGGATTTGAGACTGGACGTTTCCAGTCTTTATGCTAGTCTAAACTAACAAGCTTCTGGCTCTAGCTTCATATTTAAAGCACAAACATTTCCAAAATCATGGAACTATTCCCCCAAGTAACTCATTGTCAATTTGTGAAATGCACCAGATGTGGGCAGTATATTATTTTACTACAACCAGGCAAAGTAGTTAGTAGAGAAAACACAGTGAGCACTAGACCTGCAGTCTGCAGCGGTTTCAGCCAGCAGCAGCAGGTATTTATTCTGGGGAAGGATCAGGGCGAAGCAGCAATCCCTGCATCCACCAGAGGGTAATTTGGGCAGGTCCAGGATCTCCTTGCCTTCCACAATTGCCTCACAACTGTTCTGCAACAGTACCAGCTGGTCAGGAGGAGATGAGGCATCATGGCACACAAGGAGGCTGCCCTCAGCTGTTAGAAGCAGAAACCTCTTTTTCCACTGTTTGAAAATAAATCCACCTGTATAACAAAAGCAGGTTGGAAATAACAGGAAATAGTACTGTATGGGAAATAGTACTTGCTGGAGAAATGAATTCCAAAACACCCCAAAGCTTGTTGACAGTATAAACATGGTGCAGTGATCATGATGGCAGCGGGAGCAGAACACTGGATTAAAGCATAAACACAGTCTGTCATTCTATCATTCCCACAGATTAGAGGCAGTCACATGGCTGGTGGATCGAGGGGCTGTGGGGCTCGACAAATCAGGTTATGTTGACGACAGCATCATCATAACATGCACACACATCTGGATCTACTCATTATGCACAGTAACAAAAACAACAACACATACACACTTTATTACAGCACATAACATAATTACATAACCAAGAGTAGGTGATAAAAGTCAAAACAGAAGAAGATTTAGCTTCTATGTATATTGTTATTGTATTTTAAGCACATCTTCAGAATGTTTTATTATCAGGGTTGAACTAAGAATTTCATAATACACTATATTCATTTTATGAATAAAAATATATTTAATTATAGGAGCAAATCATTCAGATCATCTTCATTGAATATATATCATAACATGTTATAATGTGTAATGTCATTTTGGCTCAAAGCTCTGAAGAGTTTGGGCAAACACTAAGAGGCAAAATACATTTATCATCCTAATGAACAACTATTCACTATCATCACACCACCATGCTGCAGAATCCAATTTAAATTCTACAACGTTTTTGTTCTAATCGGACGAAAATATAAACAAGATCAGAATTTATAAAAGCCTGATGGTGAACAGGCCATAGAATCTACTGAGAACTGCAAAACTATCCTACAGGGTGTTTGTTATAAGAGAGGTAATCATTTTTTCTGACAAAATGTCCCCACAGCGGTAGTGACGATTGCTCAGTGAAGAAGAGGATCAACTCACCGTACATCCTGAGCACCCCATGGTGGATCCCCGAGATGCTCATGTTAACGGCCGATGTGTCCGAGGCTCAGAGAGAAATGTTGGATGGGTGAAAAGCACATGAGGCTCAATGTGAGTTTTAATGCTCAGCCTTAATCCCTGTTCAGATGGGATGTACCACAGGGCCACAGTTCAGCGGCTTGGTCGGAAAATGGGTTGTGACGAGATGCTACGGACAAACTGCTGCATAGAGTGCTATATCAGCATCTTTCTTTTAACATTTCTCTTTAATATCAGTTCAGTTTTACAAATGCAGAAATAAAAGTATTTTTGAATCAGTTTCAATAAATCTCTCATGGGTTCATTTCCTCTAATTTAAATCAAAATACAGAAAACAAGTTTACAACTGCAGAGACATCAACTTTAATTCGTAGATCAATCCATCACTGTGAATGATAAGCCAACAGCAGACAGAACGTCACCATGGCCCCAAAATGCACTGTTTCTTTTTTTACTTTAAACAGTTCCACAGCAGTCTTGGAAAGACAAGTAGGTCAGACTGAGTCCTTTCCTGTGTAATTTCTGTCTTTTCATCTGTCACATTTATTACTACAAACTTAACATGAAGGAAAAATAAATCAAATTGTAAGAATTGCTGATTTGTTAAAACATGTCAGACAATCTAATTTAAATACCCATTGATCACAAACTAATTTAGTAGAATATATTCACTGAACAGTAATTGAATCTATACAGTAAATGTTGCAGATTAGGACCCATATTTTAAGGATTTAAAGGATTGACATGACCATGTACCACCACATACATACAGTACACATACAATACGATGCTGATGAGTACAATGTCACAATACAATGCCATTTATTCCTTATACAGAATTCATTAGTCATCATCATAGGCTTTAACTTGTCTTGAAAAACAATAAACAAAATAATTTAAAATAAATCAACAGCTCCAGTATCTCAAGAAAATGAAACAAAGAAATAAATATGAATATTCTAAACTGAAAGCGACAATAATCACAAAGGAAATATATAATTCATTTGAATAAAACTATTGATGACATATAAAGACAGAAAGGCAAAGTGTGAAGCGTACTTTCAAGCAACTATGCTCTTCTGTGGTAATTGATGCAGCTTGTGTTGCTGCTTGGGCACTTCATCACATTCTCACATAAACAGTGGTTTTATCTTGTCCTCAGCAGACAACTAATTACAACTAATTTATGGAAATCTTTAATGTCCCTAAATTAGTGATAGAGGAAACATTTTCATGCAAATAGATATATTATTAAATAAATGATTACACTAAACCAAACTAAAACTTGGTGTGAATCCCATCTGCATATAAAAAGGACAACCAAAGTTACCGAAGTTTGAAGTAATGTTCATGCTGTAAATTGTTCATTAAAAAATATTTTGCATTTTTCATGACAAAAGTGAAGTCATGAGTGTTGTCAGGAATGATGAACACAAGGACAGTTCAATAGTTGTAATTTTCCCTGCGTATGTGTGAAGTACTTGTGGGCTAGGAGAGTTGATCCTCGTATTGCTTTCTGAAACAGTCTCCGGCAGGGTAGAAGTCCCAGCAACGCTCCTGGTACATCTTCCACACGTACGACTCCTAAAACAGAAGATGTAGGAACAATAAGTCAAAGAAGGCCACAGCAAGAGAGAAAACACTTATAAAAAATATATATTAATAAAACAATTATTCAAAACTGACCTGCCCAGTGTGCTCCGTCTCATCTTTGTTGATAAGGTACATTAAGAAGAACCTGAAAAAAGACACATGTTAATATTATCTCATTGGTACATGCACACATACACAAACAGTACATGCACACACTGAGTGTAAAACAAAGGAGGTGAACTCACATGTAATTGGCCAGGTTGTGTTCATCCAAAGTGTGGGTCTCAAAGCCATGTGGCGTTGTATCAAAGTAGTCACTTCCAATGCCACATATGAAGCATTTTGTCTGCAAAAAAATCAGTCATGATGATTAAAAGCCATGTTGTGTATACATTTGGAACAAGTGTCAACTGGAAGTGTCATACCTCCATGTCTTCCTTGACCTGCTCTTGTTGGTCTCTGAGTTCTCCAAAGGCATCAATGATCAGACCTAGAGTATTTGCACAGTAACATTATCATTAGAAGTGTTTATAAGATCGTTAAAGTGCCAAACATACCTTAGAATACCTTTCCTATATCAACAGTTTCAAGTAAGTCTCCAAAAGCTCCACACATTGTTCCCTTTTCCTTGTTTTATTCTAACCAAATGACATGACCAGCGTTGTCTTTACCCTGAATAATGGCCAGTAGAATGACAATGACGAAGAAGAAGAAAGTGATATCAAAGACCACTCGATACAGCTCGTATTCATCTCCGGCGGGATCCTCTATCTCATCTCCGATTCCTCCACCAGCACGCACACCCACATACATGTGGAACAGGTAACACTGTGAAGGCAAGTGAAGACAAATCAGAGATGAAGACACAACGGTAGCAAAGTGTGCACGTCTTACAACAACAGCAACTTACAGTCATCATGTCGTCGCATTTCATATCCGGTTCGTCCTCGTCCTCGCTCTTGTTGTAAAACTTGCGGAAGAAATTGAAGGCGATTACAGTGTAAAGGTACACCACCACAGCCAACAAGCCCACTGTCATCATGAGCTAGCAGAGACAAGAAGGAAAACAAGAGTTAGTCCATTCAAACTGAAGCAAAAGGAATATCATCAACCTTTTTTTTTTCTGCACTTGCCTGTTTGCCATTGTGTGTGACTGAGGACAGGATAGTGCGCAGAGTCTTGACACCCATAGCAATGTCCAGCAAGTGGCAGGCGTAGAAGAAGTTGTTGTAATGGCCAAGCAGAGACATTATCATGTACCAACAGAGATATAAGAAGGTCTACGAAGAGATAACAAGGACAGTTATGTCAGTTCTCAGAGGCAAGGTTGTGTTAACATAGTACAGTGCTGTATAGTATATTGTGCAATATACATGTAAATATGGGTTTACTTACACCGTCTGTGAAAATAACACCAAATTTCCAGATTTGGTACTTGATGTCAACGGTGGTCGTCCTAAAAAGAAACATTGATTGATATCCATTTAGGCACTGCACTCGTATTTCTACTGTTCTAGATGTAAGTGAATGCCTCGTTTTAATGTCGGACAATAATCTCTGTGCCTTTAATATTCCTCTGGATGAGAGTGCATTGGCTCCTTTGTTATTGGAAAAAAAAGTACTTTACCATGCAAACACAGAGTTGTCTGGTTCCTCCTGTTTCCTCTCATGTTGTTGACTCACATCCAGGGAGGCTAAATCAACTCCCAGGAGCTCAGCAATTCTTTCTCTGCCATAAATGTCGCCGTACTTATCCAAAACCTGGACACAGGCATCACGTTACACATTAACACGATCTACAGAGACCATTTTAAATCAACTGAAATCAAACACAACTCACCTTTCTCTTGACAAATTTATCCCAATAGTTGTTTGGAAAAGAGCTGTGAAAAAGGGGATATTGTTTATCGAGGAAATTAAGAGAGAAAACCTGGTATTTGAAATTATAATTAATGTCTTGTGTGCCCTTAAGAAGCATCTGATAGGAGACAAAATTATTTCTTCTTCTACATACGGTGTATTCAGGACCAGTCGGTCCCACTGGCCCTTAATGTCATCATCCTCAGGCTGCTCAGTGATATAGAGGCCGTCAAACTCCAGTTTTCTTGCAAGTTCTTTCTCCCTTTTAAAGATCACCAGTGGAATCTGACAAAAAATAATTGCAAATCCTGTTGAACTGTATGCAAAGTTTTGGAATCAATATCTAGTGTTAGGCAAGAAAATGTTTCATAGTGCAAGACTCTAAGATTTAGATTTTCTAAATCCGTCTTTATTTTTTAATGTGAGGCAAAAGTGTCTATTTTTACACACTAAGCCGTGACCGTCATACCTTGAGGCAGTTGTAGCCAATGATACAGATGAATGAGATGACTGTGTGTAAGGCAGCAATGAAGGTCAATGTGGGCTGCATGTAGCCAGTGCTCTCCTCTAAATAGAAATAAATTGGGACCTCTTCCTCGTCCTCATCTCCTTCATTCATTCCAGATCCCTCAGCCTCTTCCCCTGAGCCTTCAAACAACCCAGAGCCTTCGAACAGCCCGCTTCCCTCCGGATCCAGTCCAGATCCTTCCATCTCCTCACCCTCAGGGGGGGAGTCAGACACCTAAACAGAACAGAACATTGTAGAGACAAGACGAGCTTGGTACAGTGGAACGTTCTTCGTCTTTCAAACAGTAGTTAAGTACAAAAGAAAGAAGTTCAACTTGTGTATTTGATACAAGCACGTAACACTGAGAGGAATGTAAGTGTGTGCACCTTGTAGAACAGCAGAATGAAGTTCAAGGCAAATGCGAGGAACAACGCCAAAAAACGCAAGTTGTAGAAGTTTCTGGAGAGGTAGTTCTACAAAAGAGAGATGACTATTTTTAGTGAGTTGGCAAAGATAGAGTGACATTGAAATGATGCTAGAAAATGTCTCCCGAAACAAACGTGTCACCATGAATTTAATTCTTTGGGTTTCCAGCTCATTCCAGATTTGAAAACCTCCTTCCCTTTTCGGCTTCTTTTCTTTCTTTTTAGGAGATTTCTTTTGTTCTTCTGGCCTTTCTTCCTCCTTACTCTGGGCTTCTTTCTCTGCTTTCTCTCCATTCTCAACACTGACAACCAAACACAGTGAGCTTATTGTTTCATGTATTTCATCAACATTAAAATCAATTCATGATGCACTAAGACTGTCACTGCTGCAGATGTGCAACACTATACATATGTCTGTCTGCTTATGTCTTTCTTCTCCACATCCCCTACAGAGAGGTCCAGTTCTATCTTGTATAATACTACAAGTGTATTGTCCATTATACACTGATAGTAATGTTGATAGTGCAGCATTTTGCGAGTTAGCAGAAGAAATTGCTGAATGGAACATGTTTGAGTAAATTATTCAAATCTACAGTATACAGTCTTTGCTAAAAAGTCTAGCCTGTTATCTAGATCCATGACAGAGTTTATGTTGAGAGCACACTCAAGACTCTTACTCAGCCTTTTCAGGTTCTGGGGGAGGTTCCTCTACAAGAACAGGTTCAGGCGGTTTCTGGCTAGCGTCAGTCTCTTCTGGTCGCTGTAACAAAACAAAAGCAATTCCCAATGCTTTAGCCTTCCCTTCATTTAATATGTTCTTTCTTTCAGTTTAACAAATATACGGTGCAAGGTCTTAACTTTAGCATAAATTTAAAACTTGAGTGCTAACCACTAAGGAATGGGATCGGCAGCCAACGAGCAATTTGCTAATATTTACATATTTTTATTACCCGAAGGCACATAAAACTCACCATTTTTCTCCTTGTTATAGGAGTTCCTTCAGGTGTCGGAGGTTCAACAGGTGATTCAACACCCATGTCTCCAAGTCCACCTGGAGCATCAACACCTGGTATCCTCCCACCCTCTTTTTCCTGGGTATCCTCCTCTTCCTCCTCCCCACTCCCAGTCTCCCCAGTGTCCGTCACACCTCCAGTGTCTTGTTCTACCCCTGTCCTTGGCTCCCCTGGTCCGTCTCCATGCACATCATCCTGTGTGGGATCCGGCATGCTTGCTAGAATCTCAGTGACAGTGATATTCTTAGCTCCCTCCACTAAGCCTCCTCCAAACAGTGTTTGCCAGATGATCATAAAGAAGCCTTTGCACACATTGTAAATGAAGTGTAGTATACTCATTAGTATGGTCCAGAAAAAGGTGGACAAAGCCACCACAATCTCCTTGAAGGTCATCTTTCTCACTCTGCGATATTGTCTGCGGAGGTTACGGAAGGTGAAAATGCTAAAGAAGCATAGCACGCTGTTTATGAAATCTGCAAAGGCAGAGCTTGATTCGGGATGCCCTTCCTCTCCGTTATTGTCTTCATCGCCTCCTCCATTTGCTGCCCCTCCTGGTCCTCCCTCACCTCCACCTTCATCTCCTTCATCATCTTCCTCCCCCTTTCCCTCTTCCTCCTGCTCTGAAATTTGCGAGGCTATATTCATCTCAAAGATGGTGTCCTCACAGAAGTTCACGAACATTTCCATCTTCTCTGATTCACCACCCTCATTGACAACGTTAAAGATAAACTGTTGTTTGGACTCTCTGACTTGGGGCATCTCCCACTGTTTGCGGTTTACTTCAGTGATTTCAAAGTAGATGCGCTCAATCTTTCTGCTGGCGCCCATTATCTCAATACGGCCCAAGAAGGGGCGGAAGTAGTTCAGCACACTATCTGCTTGTTCTAAGAAGTTCTTTAGCCTGATGTCATGGGGGACGTGCTCAGACAGGTTGGTGAGCAGCACTGCGATGTTGAATCCGATGTCCTTGGCGGGTTCCTGAAAGCGATTGGCGAACTCCTCATAGTGGATCATGTCATTCTCATCTGCTTCTGAGCAGGACAACAGAAACTGGATCTCAGATGGGGAGTACTGCTTCTGACTGTCCATGGCCTTGTGGAAGTCCTTCTTGGAGATCAGCCCTCGTGGATCTGTGACGTAATCACGGAAAGCATCCGAAGCCACAATGTCTTTCAGTTTGAGGAACATGTCAAAGAACTTGAGGATCATCTCCACGTTGCTGGAAGACTCTACCAGCATGTCTACCATCTGGCGCGCAATTGTACCGTTTACCACGTTTCCTGAATAATACAGAGTAGAATTAAAACAGAGATTTGAAAAGAACAAAACAGGAAAAGATGAAAACTGATAAAAAAACCTCTTTTACCCTCTAACAGTGAGAGCAACATCACAACCATGTCTTTCTGTAGGTCAAGGAGCTCCTTCAGCAGACCAATCTGGCTGGAGTCCTGTGACCATGAAAAGATGCACAAGATATTACAGTAATGGCAACCGATTTTTTTATCATTTCAAAACATGAGGGGTTTACAGAGATTTATAGAGATGCAATAACATTTAATAACACAAATCAAGTTTCAAATGTTATCACACACAATTATTTTAACATATTAACACAGTAACAAAGATGGGGCTGCAAAAATAAGTTAAATAATCAAACCTTCATGCCGAGAGAGAATTTCTAAAAATGGTTCAGGAAAATGTACATCTAATTTCTGGTTCCAATGTCATCATCATATTTTTATTTCTACAAATTAGTTTTCTATTTTTGTCTATGAAATACAAACAAAAGTTAAATGTCAATTATTTCTATGTGAATTGTGACCAACTGTTCATGACCGCGAGCATTAGATTATGTAACACAGAACAAACATATCAATGCATCCATAAAGGTTACATCTGAGAACCTGTTGTCTGAAAAAGCCAACAGGTTTTCATTGTAAACAAACACTACTGATACCTGCTAATAATAAAGAACAGAATACTTAGTGACGCCGCTTGGCCCCATCATATTCTCTTCAGATGGTTTGTGTTTGGACATTCATAGCCTCATCCTTAAGATGCCATGGATCGCTATGAACCATAACAGAATTTCACTTGAATTTCCATTAGTTGCTTGCTCAAATGTATTCATATATATTATGTATATATACTATACAAATATATACTAATGTTATGTTAATGCTTAAATAGTGTTATAACCAAAGCCACCAGAATCCACAGAGCAACACAACACAAATAAAAAGCATATTCCTTCAGGTTAATTATTAGTGAATGAAAATTGCAACAGAAACCTAACTAGTGTTAAATGTGTGCACAAAAAGTGGATGTCACATTAAAATGTATATTCCAACACCAAATAATCTCATATTAAAGTGTGTACTCCAACAGTGGAGGTTAAAAGTCAATCCTTCTCTCAGAAAGTTTTGTAGTCACCTGCTTTTTTGTTGTAAATTAAGTGATCCAGCAAAAACAATGTTTGTTAGTCACAATATTGTTGTGTTTTAAAGTTAAAGTGGTGCTGTGCATAATACCGGTAATTGCTTAACAAAGAAAAATACTTTGTAGTAAGGAGAATATTGTCTTGTCTGGAAATTGATGTTCAGTATGCTATCAACTGTTGCCTGACAGTATGGATAAGCAGGTGCTCAAGATTTTACTCGGAAAAAGACACACTGATCTGATAATAATGTACTTTGCAATCTTGTGATCATACCTTCATCCAAGTATTCTCTCAGGATCTGTTTGTGTATGTTTATTGAATAGTTATTTCTTGATGAAGTCTTGATATAACAATTGCACTGGAATGTTACAGTAATTTAGTGCGCTTTGGGATTTCATATGTATGTTTAGCTGCTTTTTAAAAATGCTGAACTTCTATTTTGTACTCCTTTAAAAACCATCAAAAATAAATTTCAACATCAGGATGAATTCTGACTAAAATGTTAATAAGTAATTGGTGGTAAAATAGAAAGAAATTAAATACATTTTCAGTTTCAGGGTGAGAAATACTTTCCAAAATGCATTTAAAAAGGTAATATATGTGGTTTAATGATCTGTGTGGTCTAAGAGTCTAAGATTACCTTTGAATTAAGTTTTCGGTTATTACATTAGGTTTGTACTTAAGGGAACAGTGTGTAGGCTTTAGGGGGATTTATTGGCAGAACTGGAATATAATATTCATAACTGTGTTTTCATTTGTGTATAATCACATGAAACTAAGAATCATTGTGTTGTCATTAGCTTAGAATGAGCCATTATTGTCTAAATAGGGAGCGGGTCGTCTTCATGGAGCCCGCAGTGTTTCTACATCAGCCAAGAATGGACAAACCAAAAGCTGACTCTAGCTAGGATCTATCCACATTTTTAAGTTACCTGAAGATCAGTGTACATTTTTTTACACATTTAGAAAGAGAGGGCTGAGTGAAGGGATATTCAGTTGGTTGCAATCTGCAACCTCAGCGCTAGATGCCACTAAATCCTACTCGCTGGTCTTTTAATGCAAAAAGCATCGCGAAAGTTCCTTTTCATCTTCATCTTAATGACTTTACAAAAATTATATGATGTTTCTTTAGATTGCTCATGAATATTAGTACTTTTTTTTGTGTATTAAAACAAATTAATCAAAAAAGCTGTGTGTCTTTTTTTGTCTTTAACAACTGGATACGTTGCTTTTCATGTGACACACTAAATGCTTTGTTTTAATTTCCACTATATACAAGCTCCCGATTAAGACATTTCAAATTAAGTATTCTTATTTCATCTTTAAAAGCAGGTGGGTATAAAACAACCTGATAAAGGAAACCAACATTGAATAAATTACAAACTAGTAAACACAATATCACATCAATAGATAAATAAAATGGATACATACTTTACCCTGCATTGACCATGTGGAAGACAGTTTAAATGGTAGATAAATTATTCAGTACAATTAATCACATGACATTTGCAAATGCTCTTGTGTATGACACATGTTTTCTTTTGTTTAACAGTAAAACAATGTTCGGGCTAGTACAGATAATACAATAATAACATCACATCTTTTACATACTGTACTGTGATTAGTTTACTCTTTTGAAAATTAAACATTTCAAATATCCCCTGTTCCCTGGTTAACCACAGTATTTCAAATACGATGACTATAAGACAGAACAGCTGATACTTCAGGTCAAGGAGGACTGCACAGGGGAAAGTAATATTGTGTTAGTCATCATGTGTCTGAGGAGTATTCTGAGCTGGGAACTTATGGATGAAATATGGCTTGAATGTACGATTAAAGGGTTATGCATGCAAAACATTGTGCTCATAGTAACGATGTGCTATTAGACTCAGTCATCCACAGAGGATGACTGCACTGCATAGAGTGGAAAAGTCATGTGATTCCCCTCAAAGCATTTTGACCTTTCTTTTGCAGCAACAAAGATGCATCATTTACGCTGAAAAGTGATTCCACGCTTCCGGTCAGGTTTGTTTGTTAAATAGTTAAATGGCCTTTAAGTGCATTATATATTATTTTATATTTTGATAATGAATACATTTTTATAATTCTTTATATTATTCACAAAAACTTAACGGTATAGAACAGTTTGGGAAAAGTTTGATAATGTGTATTACATTAAATGCATATTAAAGGCCTTTTTTCACAAAAGACATTTTGACTTGTCATAGACGAAAAAGCACAGGTGTCTCAAACAACGTTAACAATGTGTCCCAGTCAAGCCATGATAGTATGACATGTAGAACACCAGGACCCTGAAACCAAAGCGTTCATCATTCATTTGATCATTCACAACTGTGATTTTCCTGCTGTGACGTGTAAAACTGTCTTTTGTGAAAAAGGTGTCCTTTCAGAATTAATATGAATGTGAAGAACCACTTTAAAAACCAGCTCATACTGGAAATACAAATAAATGGTTGAAATACTTCAAGAATCAAGAAATCCACAGTGACTTTGTTATCTAAATGTAACATTCAGGCTTATTCTAAGAAGTGTAAACTGGCCACCTACGTTTACAAGCATGTTTCCTATAAGGCCTGAGACAACACGGTATGGTTTATACTGTTATACGAATATGTCAACAGAAAGACAGTCTTGAAGGCTTAGCAATGAATGGGTGATTTTGTGAACTTCCACTAACATGAGTGCTGTACGTTTACCCTCACTTTTGAGATTCATGATAACTAAAGAGATAAAAAATCAAACAGAAATTAACTGCAGAAAACATTTGGCTCTAAAGAGCATTATGCTTTCATCGTTACCATCGATTTCTGTCATAGTCACTAAAAATAAAATGTTATGATTTGAAAGTTGCATGACAGATTTACTCCGTCAATATTGATCATACAGCTCCAGCTAGGTCCAAAACATGAAGTTGCAGTAAGGCAACACAAGTTATTTGAACGGCATGTGCGTACCTGTGCCAGCTTCATCATCATATGGGCAAAGACATGAAGGAACCCGACAATGGCATCCCACAGCCTGCTATGGGTCAGGGACTGCTGGTTGCCAGTGCATGGACCCTGAACAGAGAAACTGTGTGTTACACACACAATAAACAACCAGCGAGTGTAAATTCCTGACTTGTTCAAATGTTACCTGAATATATTCAGTTAGGCTGTTGAAAATCTGTTTTGCCACTATCATAGCTTTGGAGAAATTCTTTTTGCCTGGTTCATCAATGATGTCCTTGCCGGAGTAATACCAGTAGAAATCACTGATAGACTCCTTGATTGAAAAAAGAGAGAGTTAAGTAGAGTATTTCCATTTGATGACAATACTTTTAAACAAAAGTGGTTTATCTGGATAAAAAGCCTATCCCCTTATGGATAAAATGTCTGTCCCGATCTTTGGACTTTCTTGATTATTTGCGCTACCAAATAAAAAGCCTTTTGGGAACTACAAAATGACTTAATTAAAATTCATGATTGAACACAAAGTATGACTATTCAATAGCACTTACCATTACACATGTAGTTTTAGTGAGAATGTAATCTTATTTTTATTCTTTATTATCTGCACCATCTTTAGGCTAAATGAAAAGTTGCACCTGGAGTCTGAGGAGGTAATCTACAGTGCAGATGATGATGTTGATGGTAGTTGTGCTGCCTGTCTGTGTCCGCAGGTAGTTCTGGAAATCTGCAGCGAAGTAGAGATCATTTTGAAAAGTAGTATTGCTCGACAATGTTTGCTTTGATAAAGAAAATGATAACTTTGAAACAAGAGTCATTCTCACCATTATTGTGACCCTCACAAAGCAGCTGCAGGAAACGGAAGAGGTCACAGGTGAACTCGTCGTCTGACATCACTTTCTCATCTAAAACAAATAAAATGAACAGAAAAGTTAAATCACATCCTAAAATCAGGTTGAGATCAGATAACATACAATGATTATTACTGTAGATTACTAAAACAGTGTTATACATCATATAATCAGTGTGAGGAATGTAAATAGAATTAATTACTCAACTTACCATCATCTCCAAAAGACACTGTAATAACCACCTCTGACCGAGTTTTGCTTTTTTTATATATAATAACTTAAAGAATGAGTCACACTAAATTGTATAAAATAATATTAATAGAAGAGATGCCTGTGGTCTGACAATGGTCTCACATACAATCAAATGCCAAACATCACACAGGGGGCATCAGCGTCACATGCATACAGTTAACGTATAAACACATTTACAAAAATGAACAGACACAAATGTGACATACAGTTACATTAACAACGTGTATAAACTAAGCAGACAATGATGCCTTGTTGTACAGATAGACAGACAACATTAAAGTACTCAGGGGTGAACTGGTGCATCTGAGGTTTTACTGGTGGGCTGATTAATTGACCTGTATTTTTATTATGCATAAAGAATGTATAAATTGAGTAGAAAAGGGAAAACCAGGATTTTTAAGTGTGTATCATCCCATATAAAAAAATCGCTGCACCCGTTTGAAATATTCTACTAAAATGGGCTGTATACTCCATGTACTGTATATATAAAATACCAGTTCACCACTGGCTGTAATGAATACACACAAAGACACAGAATCATGCTGCACACACCAACTTTACTCCGCAGACCTCATTTCAGCCATCTTATCAAAACCCAATTAAAAAAATCAATTGACTTTGAGACGAGGGAACCAGAAGTGTAAAAATAGATGCGAACTTATTTCCGGGTTTAGAAATTATTCCTCCAGCACTCTATTTCTAACAATTTATGTTTATGATGGTTTCACCTACAGTTTTTGTCAGACCAGATTCCATTCATTGCCTTTTAAAATGAACAATGAATGTGAGGAGGGGCACGAGCTATGAACAGGAAAGATGGAGAGAGGTATCCAATCCTCTCTTGGTGGAATTTCAGCGTTATAAATCGAAGTGATGTAGCAAGAGGGACAGAGGAGGGAAAGAAGAATAAGAGAAACAGAGAGGCAGAGGGACAGAAACATGATTTACCCCGATCTAGGTTCAACTCTGAGGACCATGAAAGGAGGGACAAGGGAGAGCTGGCAGTGATCGTGGGGAAGGGAGAGAGGATCAGTGTGTTGACAACAGTAGAGGACTAAGAGGTGAGGAGGGGGAGATTAACAACATTCCACGGCAAATTCATTCATATTCAAATGAACCTCCAGAATTAGATGACAACAAGTTGGGAAAACAGTGGGTGAGGCCCAATCAACAAGTCAAACTAGTATACAAACTAAAAACTTAAATTAAAAATCCTTAAATCTTATCCTTCAACAGTTAAACAAGTGTTAATATTTCATGTTAGGAAAGTTATCACTCAATCAAATCAAAATGAGTAGAGTAAATATCACAAATGGAAAACATTTAGAGGAAGATTAATTAATAGATGCTCAGACTGTTTATTTATTAATTAACGTTGTATCTGGATTGGTTAATTTATTTGTTTATGTTAATGATGATGAAGCAAATACCTTATTGACAGGAACTATCAAAAACATCACTTGACCAGCCATTTCTTGATTTGGGTTTTTTCATTTTGACTTTAATGTAAAATCTGATACTTGATAGAGTTGTTTGCTCCATAATTATAACTCCAAAATGTATATGATGTTGCTCAAAAATATGAAATCTCCTTTGTTTTTTGCATGAATTTCCTGCATAATGCACAGAAGGAACCTATTTGTGATTTTTTAAAAACAAAAACAGTATTCATATCAAGTAAAGCGACCCAGATCTCTTGCACACGTAGAAAATGTTTTTCAACCATAAGCACGATTTCAATTTTGTTTATCGTAAAACAATCTGATAAAGGGTTGTACTATGATGTTAAATGTAGTCCGTGTAGCTTTAGCAGCTGTTGTTCACAAGAGTGCGTCTGTCTTGTGCTGCAGCTATAAAGTTGTGGTACAATGAATAATGGTATCACTTTGGTCTGTTTCTACAAATCATTTCTATAGACGTTGTTTACTTTGGTGTTGTGGTCTACATTATATAAATTTGACTCCATTCAGACAAAATGTGTGCCATCTTCCCTTGTGTCCCATCATGTCCTGGTGAAGATGTACTTTAATGTGAAATGAGATGGGGAAACCAAGTGTACTGAACAATGTAATCTGTGCCTTAAAATGATGCAGGTATTAAATGGTGATATCAAACACTAGCCGTGGGTTGATCTCTTGTCTGCTGCAGCTTAGGCCCTAGTAGGTGTGAAAAAGTGATGCAGATGAAAAGAGTATGGAGACTTACTACTGCCCTCCTCTGAAACCATGCCCAGCCCCTCTGCCTTGTTCTGCCTCTCAAACGCATTTAGATCCAAGACACTGTCGAGATCATGAACTCATTATTAGACACTCCCCACTCTTCAAATGAATTCACTTCAAATTAAAATATCGTTGATGTTAAAATCAATACAAAGTGGAGAATTGTAATAAACAATTGAAAACTGACCTGCATGTCTGCATCAGTGCCTGGACACTCAAAAAGAAGCCTACATCCTTCTTATCCCTCAGGTACTCCAGCATTTTCTGACAGAAGAAGAAGGGGGTAATCCATATAAGTGCTTGTTTAAAGGTAACTTCAAATTTAACAAGACAAAATGTTTTATTAAGAACACATACCCGTTGAACCTCACTGTTTCCACCGTTAAGGATAGAGATGCCCAGCTTGAGGGTTGTAGTCACCATTGGTCCAGTCTCACCTACATGAAAAAAGACAAATTCATAAACTTGTCAAGAGCAAACTGAATCACTGTGCAGGCACGTCTGCAGGCAAAACGTGTGGACCCGCAGATGTGGAGCAAGGCTACCTTTGCAGGCACTGATCATTTGCAGGACCATCTCTGCAGCTCCACGATTGTGAAGTCTGGACTGCTGGTACAAGAGCCTTTGTTTCTCCGTTTCTTTTTCCTGTGGGGGGACACAAACATTATGAGCATTTGGTGCTGTCATATTTCACCAACAGAATTTAAATAGATAGAGTGGACTGTTTCAAGTCAGATATTTGATGAAATATTCAGCGCCAATCTTAAATACAGCAGGATTGGGTTGCACCAGCTATTCATACATCCATTACTAACTTTAATTGTGAAGTCCTTCCTACATTCTTAGTAACCGCTAGCTTCAAACTAGGGATTTACTAAACTAGGTTGCACAATTAAAACTTGTCTTAGCTAATAGAGACTTAAGTAATATGTAAATTAGTTGCTAGAAAACATCTAAAGTGCTTATCAATAAAGAGTAATGAACTATGTAAACAGGAAGTCAGTGTAGCATCACAAGTTAGCATCATTTATTGGAAAGATAACGTTTGTTTTGTCAGTTGGTTTAGTTAGCTATTTACATCCGGCAGCTACTGGTAATTATTTATACTTTAAATATATTTCAAATAATAAATACTGACACAAGAACCTTAATTTGAGTGATTAGAGCCGTAGGTCCTCGCACGGACTTCCTAACGGTAGCACTTCAGATGTCCGGTGTCCATGTAGAGCAGTATCTAATGGCATCCAATCTAATGTGTTGAACCCAGCAAAATTTAAACTTGTTCGATAAATCCTTTGTTGTGAATCTAATCGATTTATGCCAAGCGTGCAATTGTTGGGGAAAGCAGCGAAACTAGAGTTGTTTTGATCCTTTTTCAGAAAAAGTTTTGATACTCCACTTAAACTTTTATGTAAGAACTATGCTATGTTTGAACTCACTGTTGCAACCGGCTCCAGGTGTTAAAATGTAACAAAAAAAAAAGAAGTTGTCCATTCTATCTATTCATATTCTTAATTTCAATACACATTCACCCTCCTTTCGCTCAAGTCCCTAACTTTTCAATGTATTACAATCCAATCAACTTACCTTTTTTACTCAAGTGGTCCATATCTGTAGCATTACACATCTATACATAAAATGATCTTTAAAGAGACATTATCTACAAATTGGTGAGTTTTGTGATTAACAAAATCGATGTTATATCATGCTCTTTCCCTTATATCACTTACAGTTAATGTTCTTCTCTCTTCCATAGTAACATTGTCTTTTCACAAGCATTTGCATTATGGGTTGTTACTGTACATTGAAAGTACCTGGCTAAAACTTGCACACATTCAGTCACCCAAATGTATTAGTCATGGAGTTGTTACTCTACTTGTTTCACGTTTGCTGGCTAGAGCAAGCGTTAGACTACAGGAAACAGCCCCATCAGCTTAGCATTTTAGCGATATAGTTTACCAATGTGTCTTTATTGCAGCAGCCCTGCAAATAAGACACTTATTACATTACAAGGGCTGGAATCCTTCTGTATCGGAGATATTTCTTTGGCATTTCATAGCAGCGTAACTTTGCTTTACGAAATGGTTTTAAAAAATGTATATAAAAATAATAACAATTTAAAAAAACATTACTCTGGCTCTAAATGGCCTTTAATCTCTATTTGTGCAAATGCACAATTCTTGATTTATAGATTGGTGCCAACTGAGAATGAAATGCCATTTTAGAAAGAATGGCTTTCATTTAAATATCTCTGAATTCAGAGGACAAATTGACATTCCTCTGTTAAGCCACATCACAAATTAACTTGTAACATCCCACATTCTGATCCTAAAACACCCCCCCCCCCCCCGCCCCTCCCTTCCCACTTCCAACCCCCCTCCCACCCACCCACGTATGCCTGTTCATGCTCTACCCACTATGTGTGGTGCAGTCGGACCTCGAACTGCAGTCCCTGACTCTCTAATTCAACCTGATTATGAACTATGCACTATATGATGTATGTGACTTTTAAAACTATGAGTATGTGTATGAAAATATTGCTTTTAATGTTGCATGTTCTACACTGGCTTTCACTGTAGTCTGTCAGTACGCTATGTGAGTGGGGGAAGGGAACATTGATCAGTCGCATTCAGTTAATGAAGACTGCTGTTATGAAAGTGAGGGGGATTACATGGAGCGATGGGGAAAGAGAGAGAGAGAAAGAAAAATGGGACAGCTATATAAACTGGGAGGAATGACATCACTGGTCAATGAGTTTGGGTTAAATCATATTCACAATCATTTCCATTTGAATGGCCTTCAATAACACATCTAATATCATCTCCAGCCTTTTCTTTTGGCATGTCTAACTCCCCAGTTTGATATAATTTTTGCATTTATAAATATTTTTTAATAGTTTAAAGCGACAATAAGTGTTGAAAAAGCACAAATTGTTTATGGTCAGGCAAACAACATTTTTTTTAATAGTTGAGCTCCAGTTACTTTAAACAGTGAAGTCAGCACCGGGTGTGTCAATGAGTACAGTGTGTGAGACTCCTGAATTTGTGACAAGGAATATAGTAGCAGCTGGACTTTCCCTTCAAAGTAAACCATGAAGTACAAAGAGCCTGTCCACTCTAATTATATGAGCTGTGCGTACAAATAGAGTTATGGTGTGATAGGAAAATCTTTGAGCAACATTTTTCTTACACATTGTTTGATTTTCATAACTTTATCATAAATGGTGTATATTGTCCATCAAGCTGAGTTAAAAATTTAAAAAATGAAAAATTTTGAAGTGAATTTGTATTAGTCTGATGATTATTATTTTGATTATCTTTATTAATATTGTTGATGTTAAATTACATTCATTTAATCTAATTAGACCCAATCCAGATTTGGACTAATAGTCATTCTAAAACAATAAGTGATACATTAAAATAATTGCAGTGCTACAACAACACTGAAGTTAGAGCACAATGACATTCTGTCCCAAACTGTAGCAGGATTTGAAAAGATTAGGGCACATATAGTAAAAAAAAGAACCCATCTGGATTGGAGCTTAGAGTTTCTAAATCAAGCAACTCACAATGAATGAAGCAACATACCAACAGAAGAGACAGATCACAGACAGAACAGACAGAACAGACGGAGGGAATGAGACAAAAACAAAGAAAGAGAGAGAGAGAGAGAGAGAGATGTGGTCGTGAAGTAATGTTCTGATAATGACGTCACTCAGTGCGTTGAGAGCTACCGCTCCACTGTGTTCCTGGTCCCTAGCCCCTGGTCGCCCATTACCAGTTCTGACTGTCGCACCTCAAAGGACATCTCATCCTCAGCATTTTCCACCATTTCCTCTCCCCCTTCTTCTTCCTCACCAATATGGCAACTCTAAATTAAGGAAAAAGTGAAAAAGAAAAAAATACGAGTTTCAAAGTATATAATGCACAAACTTTAAAGCACGGTCAAAACCCTTTGTGATTACTCACCTTTGCCATAATTTCTGCATATGCCATATAAAGATGATCGGTATCAAGTTTACTGAAATTGAGACGGGAGAAGACAGTTGGTAAACGAGGAGTAACATGCCACACATTACAGCAGCGAGGACCTATCGAACCTCTTTTCTGTCAGAGCGGTACGACTGAAATGCAGAATAAGCTGGTGGAGGGGATCTGGCTTTGTTTCTCGTTCATGCTCCTCTTCATCTCCTTCCTCTTGCTCCATTGCTTTCTGGGATGTACAAGGAGAGGAAGGTGAGTAATGGCATCGAAAAAAATAAACATTCAAGATGAAACAGATGTGAGATGACACTCACGGATAAGTCGTCTATCATCCTGTCTTCAAATGAGTAACCCTCAGAGTGAAGCCAATTGCGTTTGTATCCCTCAAGGAACATGTTTGAAGCTCTATGCCTATACAACGCAAAAAAACAAACAACAACTTGAATACCTGGAATATTTATCGTAACACCCGATACTGTACGTGTCAGTTCTGACCTTGGTGTGCCTTCCTCACCTTGGAATATTGTATAGTGGTGTCATCCTAAAGCAAGCGACCACAGCCCTGCGTCTCTGCTTGGACAACAGTTTGTGCCACACCATCTTCTTGGATTTAAACGGGTGCTCCGTCTGTACATGTGAAGGTATACATTGGCAAAGCGGCGGAAATAATTCCTATGGTAACTCTTCATGTACAGCAGGAAAAGCCTGAGGTCGTAGTTGTCAAAGACTGAATCCCCCCAAAAATAGTATAATATTCTGAGTACAGATGTACAAAGACATTTTTTGAAACCTGTAATTAAAAAACACTTGAAGTTAGGCTTTGGTGATGGTCACCTCTTATTTTCTGTTATTATTTGCTGTCTTGTAAAAAAGTAGATTGATTCATATTGCGATAATTACATTATTGATACATATTGTGCTTCTACCAAACCCAAAAATATTGAGCAATTTGTTGATAATTTCTCTCATACACACAACAGTAAAATGTTCACATTTGATTCAAATAATTTGCACACAACTAGTCAAGCTGTCATTCTCACACTCATATGTACTGGAGAGACAGTAAGCGTCTGCTACAGTTAGCACAGGTCAATTTGGCAACTCACGACTTCAAGGTGGTAGAGGACAGCAGAAACCTCCTGCACTCTCTTGACAACTTTCATTGGAGCGTCAGCATCTTCGGCCTTCCCTGCCATCTCCTTATACAGGGCCATCTGCCAGCGCATGGATGGGTTGTCCACCTTCCCACAACACAGGGATACAGAGCTTTCTGATATGCATTGTGACTGATTATTATCACAAATCCGATTCCTTGGAAGTAAATACATCACGGTTGGACTAACAGTCCACGAGTTTATACCTTGCCCTGAAGATGAAGGTTGTTCTGCAGGAACTCTCTTACTTCTTCATCAGTGTCTCTCTGTGAAGTAAAACATTTGATCAACCATTATCCCCCTAAAACGGTTTGGGAGGTAAAACTATTACGGAATGGTTATTTAACTAAAGTAAATAACATGATACAAATCAGACAAGGTTATGTTTCAGAGAATCAAGTTAGGTAACACTTTCTATAAAGCTCATGTCTATAATGCATTATAAACATTCTTGAAATGCGTTATAATCAGCTTAAAGCACTGTAAAAATCATAGTTATATGGACTCCTAAATAATTATAATGGTTTATGAAACTAATCATAACATATTATAAAGCATTTTAAAATTACTGATAAGGTCAAGTATCATAATACTTCATAATTTCTGGTCACTCACTGACATTTTTTTGCAAGAATCGCAATGTATTATAAGTTCCATTGTTGTAATCCATTAATATCTTTTTATAACGCATTTCGATCACTGTTATGTGATTATAAATTACTCTGAGTTGTCATTTTTTGCTTTAACTAAAGTAAAAATTAATTTAAGAAAGTTTTCTATGTTGTTGCATAGATTTGATATTTTTTTCCCTTTACTTGAAGCAAACAATGACCACCTAGAGTTATTTTGAATCACATTATAATACATTATAACAGTGATTATAATGCAAACTAAAAAATTATAACGTTTTACAACAATGATCCTTTGCAAAAGATATCAGTGATTGTTATGATACGTGACTTTATAAATAATTATAAAATGCTTTACAACTTAAGATTATAGTTATAAAGCATTAGGAATATTTATTAGTGTTTATAATTCTAATTATACAGTGGTATAAGCAGATTATAAGGTATTATGAGTATATAATGCATTATAGACAGGGGCGCCACAGAAAGTGTCTCTAGTTCATTCAAAATCAGAAAAAACTACCAAAGAGTATCGGATCTTGGCCAAGTTGATAAGCTCCTGATCAGCGGGAGAGCACATGTTGAGGCCTATGGGAAGCATCTTTTTCAAGGCAGCCACAATAAGTGAAGTCTGTACAGAGTAACGATCTCCACGCTTTTTCTTCTTGGTACGTTCAGTATCTGAGCCTCCACCCTGAGAAAAGGGACAATAACCAGAAAGCATTCACAGCATCTCATAAAATGCCAGAGGTATGACACGAACACATTACAGCCTTGATTCAAAGTCTGGCAGTCGCTTTCATAGAAATAAGCCCTCGTTAGTGATTACCCATTGTTCTCCTATAATTCTAGGAATGATTGCAACACGACAAGAGCAAAAATGCAATTGATTCTATGTATTTGCTACTGAACATCACACACTGTAAACATAAAATGAATAAAGATTCATGACAAACCTTGGTGATCATTTTTATACAAAAACATTGAACATCATCCTACTTTTTAGTAATGATTGAGCACTATACAGTACTGCAAGCTGTTCCTTATGCACATATGCAAACAGTAGATCCCTCCATGTAGAAATTCCCAGCTTCACTGGGGATTCCTATTTTAAATATGTTACTGTCAACAATGTCTAAAGAAAAAGTAAGTGACTACATTTCAATGTCTATTTTCTGTTATTCCCCAAATATAAAAATCCTAGTTTCTCTGAGCTCAGACTGGTCAGTAGAGGGTGTAGTGAAAATGTGGGGATATAGCTGGCTTGGGAAAGGGAAGCTGAAAGGAATGGGTCTTATAAGAAATTAAATCAGTGAAATTGCATTTACAAAACATGCAACAAAAAACAGATTTCATGACAACCATCCAGCATTCCATGAACAGGATAAATAGCTAGTTGTGAATTAAATGTAGTAACAACAGCAGCCCTTGGTGAAAGATTAAAATATTAGATGAAGTTACAGAACGAAACTCTTGAAATTAGTTAGACCTGTTAGTAGCAGGATGTTAAAATCACACACCTACTGCTGTTCTGTTTCTGTGAGAGTTCAGTCCTGTTATCTGCTCTTTCTGGAGTCCTCCAAGATGTGCAAATGTATGTGAGAGCATACAATATATAAATGCATTTTGTAATATGAATGTTTAGTCTATTAAATGCATGCTCTGTGAATAGGTCACAGGGTATTTTTATTTGAGCCATAGCTGTTTAGACAACAGATATCACACAGTAACAGCCACCACACAGAAAAGTGTAGAGCACAATGTTACTGGACAGATTTAAGGGGGTCCAATGAGTAAATCTAACTTGGGGAATGGCAACTGTATTGATGAATGATATTGATATTACTCATTACCACTCAGATATTGCACACTTGCTGCTAAAAAGTACTAGAAGTACCTAATATGGTCCACTGGACTTTTACAAAAATCACAAGTTGGTCATTATTGTGTTTTTTACAGTGGCTCAAGTGTATAAACCCTTAGCTTGCATTGTGAAAATAATGGCTCGATCGCACAGGTAGGTCTGTTCATGAATTAATATACATTAAGTCTGAAATGGAAAGTGAACAGAACAGGTCGTTTACAGGCTTTCTATCAGCAGTCTTTTCAGTATAGGTGTTTGTTGGGATGTCATTGCCAGACATATACAATTAAGTGTATCAATCCCAGAGGCCGTACGCCCCCCCCCCCTATCCAAGTTAGATATCAGTTCCACTCAGTTCATCAGCCACTGCTTTCGCTTCAATTCAGGGTCAGATGCAAGTGTGTTATGGAAGACTAGTTTAGAGGAAACAGGGTGCAAAGCCTTTTGGGGAATAATATAGATCATAAGAGTGAATTAATGTATGGTTAGGTCCATGGTCATTTTGAGCACATTCTAGGAGGTGTAAAGGAAAGTAAACCATGATGTACCATGGCATTTCCAGGGAGGAGAGAAGAAAGAGCACAGAGAAGACTAACATCATCCCCTAGTGGCAAAAAGCTGCATTACAGAAGCTACAGGTCAACCATCCTTCAATGAAAGGAAACAAAAGACATACTAGAAGACTCCACCTCAACTATGATCAAAAAAGAGCAAACTCAGTGACAGGATGATGGCACTGTTCTCTCACTGCCACCTTGGGCTTGGTGTAAAGCCCAGTGCCATGAGCCCAACTCTACAACTGAGTACTTTCATCAAGCGCCTCCAGACTCCCCCACACACACACACTGGCAGGACCGGGGATGGCCCGCAGATGGGGTGTGCCCTTTTGTCCGGTGATCCTTTGTGAGAATGTGTGTTTCTTCCTAGTGCATATTGATTATAGTACATCTTATATATAATGTTGCACTAGAGCCTTTGTAGACATAAATTAGTAGTTTTGTGTAAGACATTGAGTGTCGGTACACAAGTGCAGAGGCTCATAGACTGAGGCATAGCAATACTAATGACAGTGTAAGTGAATCCAAACTCCATCTGTTTCTCCTTTGAAGAGACTTCTGGCTAGGATTGTCATGTTCTATTAATATACATAACTATATATTTATAGCAACGACAAATTCTCAACTGAGTTTTGTTTCACTCTTAATAGACTGCAAAGTATTCATGACTAAGCAGATGCAGCTGCATATACAGAGGAAAGCATTTTGCCGTGGCACTAAAATAGTTGTCTCTGAATGGAATGTGCAAGCCTGTGAGCACGAGTAAGTGACTGTGCTTGAGTGTTTGTGGATGTATTTGAGTGTATGTGGATCAGATGTGCCAGTGTGCTGGAGAGGTTGATGAAAAGCTCCCCCAAAGTGAGGTGCCATGCGATCAGCACAGCGGTCGTGCAGGAACAAAGTCTAACCTCTGAGTCCCCGCCCTGGAAACCCAGCCGCAACCCAAAAGAAGAGGACAAGGGACAGCCAAAGAGAGAATATTGTTAACACAACTGCTATCGTTCTCAAAAATTGCGAATTAATATCAAACCTCCAAAAGTTATAAAAGGCTTAACGTAGCCCAATAAACAAGGACATTAAAAACATATACAAAATCAGAAACTACCAAAAACCTAGGCACTGAAATCTTGTACCTGGTAAGATGGTGCACAAGTGCCTTTCTGTTGTAAATTGCTTTGTTGGATTTAAGTCTGTGATACAATGGTTTGAGTTTCCTATTGCCAAACTAAGGGTAGTAATAGTATAATAAATGACCATTTATACCTGGTTGAAAATAGTTGGTAAAGTAACAAAATCTTGAAAAACGAGGGCAAAAAGAAAGAAACACATACAGTTGTTACACAATATGCCTGATTTGAGATCTGACACTTAACCAGCCTCACTGCATTGCTGGTTCTGCCTTTAATTAACTCACCTTGCTCATTTTGCTTTTGCTGTCAGCGGTGAGGAATGACATGTTATTGATCTCATTCATCACAACAAAGTTCTGTTCCTCTCGTTTGAAGTTCTACAACAGAGAGGGAAATTGAAAAACATACAGTACAGTTCAGGATGTGAGCTGCAACAAATGGCGCCATTCATCGGTCAAATGAACATACTCACATGAGATTTGGACCAGAAAATGAAGACCTCTCCAACGATTCGGAAGAGCTCTTCTGCATCTGGGTCTGGGCATGTCAGCCATCTTGCCCTGTAGCAGAACAAATGACTTTGAGGGTCCCCAAAGTCTCATCGAGCTTGGCTAATGAACAATATATGAAACTCTTTCAATACTAGCCATGGTATATGTAATTTTACTGTACCTGTTGTTGTCCACGTAGCGAATAAGTAGAGGGTAGAGGGCATACAAGTCTCTGCAGAGGACAGCAAACTCATCACGTATAGTGCCGTCTTCCTCATCCCCCTCTGATTTACCCTCCATCCGCAAATGGTCCTCTTCAGCCACCACCTTTGAAGTGCGTTTCTTCAGCTTCTCCATTGTAGGGATGAAGTGGGACTTGAGCATTTCTGGCTTTGCCCTGCTGACAATGGGCTGTGAAAACACTAAGAGAGAAAACAAAAGGTGCCGTCTCATTTGTACAAATAAACTTACTCAGGTGTACAATGTGACACATTAACAAGAGTTTAAAATGGTGCTCACCAGCCAACCTCTTCATCCAAGAGGCTTCATCGATACCCAAGTTGTTGACAACGATTTTCATGATGCTGCCAAGCAGCTGATTAAGGTGTTCGGATGTGACATCAGTGCAGATCTGCCCCTCCATCTCAGGGAAGTTCTCAAGTCCTCTCTCCCACCAGCGAGGCAAGTAGTTGCACAGCATGGGCAGGGTGATTTCAATCACATGAGGCATCTCAGTGTAACGAGCCCCTGACTCTGCCAAGTCCCCAATCTCCTTTAGCAGAGCATCCAGCTCTGGAATGTCTGGACATAATTCCTGGACCTCACTGGGAAGGCCCAAGACTTTCACAAGAGAGGTAGTTAAAGAAATTAAATTCAGAAACAAGACTTTGTCAGACAGAACAACAAATCTGAGGAAAGGGTAATGCACTCACTGGCTCTTTCTCTGGGTGTCTTTGTGGTGTAGACAGAGAAAGCATTGAATTCATTTTGATGGGGCTCTAAGTAGGCCACTGGCATCGCAGCTGCAAGGTGAGCCAAACATTCTCCGAGAGCTGGTCTCTGCCTGTAAATGGACAATTTCCCAAAAATGGTCCCAAGTACAAATTCTAATTGACTTTACACATTTTAATGTTTACAGATATGAAGTTACCTCTCAACATGTGGATTCTTGACAGTCCCAAGGGAGTAGATGCTACACATGATGCGATAGCATGACATCTGTAGATCGTCCACTGTATGCAAGCAAGGGGGACAGATATGGCAGTGTCAGGATACATACCACCATATACACCATGTAAAATCAGAAATAGTACGAATGTAAAAGCACTCACGCATGACATCATCTCCAAACTGGTGCTGAGCAATGTGATCAAACAGGGAGGTAAGCACTGGGAGCAGGGCGATGGTTGTGTAGTTAATGTTCTGGGAGACGCCTTTCACTTGCTTTAAAGGACAGAAGCAGCATATGATCATGGGCTCAGGATATTTAGGTTCCAATGTTTGACAGATCATTTGCAACAGTTCAATACAAATATTGTGTACTTCTATTACCTGATTGCCTTTGGATACTTTGCCCAGTTTGAGGTTCTCTACCATCTTCTCTATATCGTCCGCAGCACTCTCAAAGAATGACCGCAGCCCTGCTTTCACAATCTCAGGCCCTGACTTCATTACTGTCCTAATGAAGCAAATAAGGAAGATTAAAATAAAAAACAAAAACATATTCACTTTATTAGGCCAATGCATCTTTTGAAAAAATAAAAAATACCAAACCTTGCATCCAATGACCGTGCCAGGATGTGAAGACAGTTAACAATTGCTGAAGCATCCGTTCCTGCACATACAAATACACTTCTGCTGATATGCGGTCTTTCATACAATTCAGATCACCACATACTGTGAAATGCATATAAAATAACTGCACTCGCTCTCACATGAGTGGTAGAAAAATACATTACAGCCAATAAAATGCAGCCACATATGAGAAACACAGAAAAGAGTGAGACGATTCAGGATGATTGATGTTGAGAAACTGACATCTTACCAAAGAGAGAGACTCTCTGCCTCACCAGAGCAGACATTTTACAGAAGATACTATGACGAGAAGGAAAGGAAAGGAAAGGAAAGGGAAGGGAAGGGAAGGAAAGGAAAATGCAAGAAAAAGGAGACATTGATAAAAGCGGGAAGTAATATGTGAAAAGAATACATTACACAACATATGTGGGTGATATTCATATAAAAAAGAGATATTTATATAAAAGACAGATCACCTTGCAATCATCTCCTTCTCTTTATTGGAAGAATGCCCACCACTACCCAGAACTTTTGCAGGTGTCGACAAGAAGTAGAGGCAGTGGTTTTTGAAATATTGGTTGATTAGAGGCATCAAGATCTAAGAGAGAGAGAGAGAGAGAGAGAGAGAGAGAGAGAGTTTTCACACTTACTCTGTGCACACAGTACAGAAATGAGGACAAGTTGAGGTTTAAAAATTGTGATCACTTTAGCTTTACACAATAGTCTCACCTTGGCAAAGAATTTGATTTCCTGCTCATGAGGAGACTTTTCCACTCGTCCACTGCTTACCACAGCCTCTGTGAAACACATTGCAAATATGATGTTATTACAATTCCACTGGAAACAAACAACTACGTTGAGTTGCACCAATACAATTCTATCAGATGTTACGATATATATGTTCTTGATCCTTGCGCCACTGTACCAAGATGAGCGATGAACTCTTGGGCAATTTCCATCCATTTCAGCAGCTTCTGCAGGAAACCATAAGCAAATCTCTTCTCGATGGATGAGATGTCAGACTCCATATCTTTCAGGCCCCTAAAGTGAAACAGAACTTAATGCTTTGTACTTGAATTAGATAAAACATTTCCCCCAAGTTCAATACTGGTTCCCATATTGTCAAATAATGTATGATCATAAAGAGACACATAAAGTATGACCTAAAACTTAAAATACTGTTCTTGCTATGTTTCTGTTTTCCTTTGTTATTCTGTAAGATGTTTTAAGGTATAGTATATAAAGCACGTTATAAACAATACATTTTTGAATTTATCAACACTGGTATGACTTGAAACTGCTGCAGAATGGCACAGCTACATGCATCCAGTCATTCTGTGTTTCAACACCTTATTTTGATTTTTTTCAACTTGATCAATATAAATAAAACCTTCTGTGCTCTAATCTCTGTTTGTGTCGTTTGAATGGGAAGTTGATCAGAGGATACTATCTGCTAAGGCCACACAATTAATATTTAAAACAGAAAACATGTTCATATTTTATAACAGCAGATTAAATGGAAACGCTCTTCTGCAATGTTACCTTGTGACAGCATATCCATTAAGCTGCAGAAACTTCAGCAGTTCATGAGACTTCTCTCTATCTCGTGCCTTTTCTTTTGCTGTCAGAGTATCATAGGGCACCAGCAGAGGATGTGTTCCACCTCCTACACAAACAGAAGCGCAATCAAAACTCTTGGAAATGGCAAAAGCCAAATCTGTCATTCTCCAAATGTCTAGGTTCCCTCCTCCAAACCAATATATATTTTACCTTTGGACTGCAGCTCCAACTTTTTCTTTCGCCCCCAGGTGTTGTGGTAATTTTCTGCCAGTTGCTCTGCCATAGACTGTGAAAAGATATATTACTATTATTACTACTATATGAATATTGATTAGATGCGAAGATTACAACACAGAATGTCCAAACACTTACCTGCAGGTCTCTTGAAAGAGCCATGTGTGAGATTTCAATGGGCTGTGGACTGTACCCTTGGCTTGGGTCATAGGTTGCCTAGAATAGAAAGAGTTATCATTATGTATTGTACAATAAATAGCACTGCCGTGATGACATTATTAAGCATTAGAACATTCACACAACTGCTTTATACCTGTGCAGTTTGTGAGATTTTTCGTGATACTGCCTTCTTCTTCTCTGACTCCTCTTCCTCTCTAGCTTTATCTAGAGTCCATTCCCATGCAACCATGGCTTTGACTGACTCTTTGATTGGCCAACGGTAGATCTCTTTGTCCTGTCAGAAAATTGTCAGTGTGATCAAATGCAGGCACAGATGAAGTAAAAGTACGGGAAGATTTAATGCACAGCTTGACCGTAGACCTACCTTCTCTGAGAAGGTTTTGTATGGTCTGAGCATGGGATGAGTTTTTGCATTGTCATCCAGCATTTCACCATATGACCAGTTATTCTGGATCTGGAACATACATACAAAAACAATATCTGTTACACCTGTCATTTATTCCTACAAATATAATGGCTTCCTTCCTAATTCAAACACATAATGTAGAGCTCTTCCAATCAAACTTTCGCAGCATGTTGCTCCTGAATTGGCTGATGAATAGTATTAATATATTGTGAGTGATTACAGAGAGTGAAAATGAAAAGTTATACCTTTTCAAAGGCCCATCTATCATGTGTATATTCAGCATATTTGTTGATAAAGGGATCCAGTCTCTCGGGGATGATAGTGCTGTGGTTGGAGGAAGAATCAGTCCATTTAGCTTTATTTATTTTAGAGAGAGATACTGTATGCCTTAAAAAGCTATAATGACAAAAATCCTCTCACTTTGTCGTCTCTACTGGTTTAGGATCAAAGTTTCCCTCTGCATCCACTGATGCCTTTTTCTCTGTTTTTGAGGAGTAGCTGGCATCGACATAGTCGGGAGGAATGGCTCCAGCGATGGCACAGATGCATGGCATTGAAATTTTGAAAATCTCAGCATCAAATTTCTGGAAACACAATAACAAGATATTACAATATACCCATACACCATCTAATATAATGAAAATGAAAAATCAAGGATTGAAGGAGCTCCACCTTGTGCGCTAGCGATTCAAAGATCCCCCAAAACAGTTTGCGGGTCAGATGCAGCTCCTCTTCTGATGAGATTCCAAAGTTGCCCCAACCATTAGGGAGGCAATAATATTTCCAACAACGCTCGTAGTGATTGGTCAAAAGCTGCAGGATTCAAAAACTTTTTAACAATCATTACCATCATGTTTTTAATAGTTTTATAATGTTAAAAAGATGCTCATACCTTCAGGGGCATTTTGGCGTACTCATTGAGAATGGGCACATCAAACACCAGCCGTCTTAGCAGGTGCTGAAGCATGGATGGACGTAGATGTCTGAAAGAAAGATAAACAAAGACAACTTCAACTATGAACCTGGCTATATTAAATTGGAAGAAATGTTTGCCAAACTCACTTGCACAAAGCCATGAGGCACTCTTCAATGATGTCTCTTTGGGCCTTTGTGAAGGCTCGTCCACGAGACAGACGGTAGATTGTGTGCAACATAGAGTCGATCATTATGGCTCTGTGGTCACTGCCAGCAAAGAGTGGAGCACACTTAGTGATGAGTGGCAGCACAGCAGAACACAGGTAGCGGTTCAAAGCAAGGGCCATCTCTGTAGTGCAGAAAGCAACCTGTTGGACAGAAACTCTGGCAGTGAATTGAGTTCAACAGTACGGTTATAATCCTGCTCGTCACTGTATACGTACATACGACTGTATGTTTGTAAATTGTTTGAGGCTTACCGTGTCCAGAGAGGCAGCAGCCCTCATGTCAGGGAGAAAGCCCACCTCTAGCACATGTAGCAAGAAATCCTGGTTGTCAATACCATACACTCTGTCCAGGAACAGAACCATGGGAGCCTTGTGATCCGGCACAAAACTAGCTGACATCTTTGGTTCTATGATGCTGTTGTCTAAGCATGAGATAACGGAAACATTTTGGAAAAATCATTAACAATAGTGTTCTGATGGCAGAGGACACTTTCAACAATCATCACTGATTAAAGATACCTAGCTTCATCAATTCAATATGTTTTCCAAAGTGTTTACCTTTTCCAAATGAAGGAATCTGAACAGAAAGGCTGATGACTCCCACAAGATCCTCAATGGGGACCAGAGACCTCAGGATGGCTCTGATTCTCAGAGCCTCGCCCTTACCAGCCTGGATCAACTGTAGAGACAAAAACTTGCTTTTTATCTATAGCTATATATAGATAGCTATTTATATATAGTGTGGTAGCTACTAAACAGCTTACGTGCATCTCTGGAGCACAGCGTCCCAGCAAGTCAATAAGGGCAGAGTAGAAGGACATGATGGCATTTCCCAGGTGCACCTTGTTCTCCTCATGCTGCTCCTCTCCTCCAAACCTACCAGAAAAAAGAAAGTGGCTGTAAATATTTTTGGTACAGCAACACTGGAGGAGATAATGCACACTTTGGCACCTCATTAAATACCAACAGAAGGCCTTCAAACCAAAGCTAAGAGCTCTTACATGGGAAAGCGTCTGTCTTTCTTAACACTAGGACCATCCCTTGCAGGATCCTCTGATATTTTGATTGCCTCCTCTATTGCAGCCAGTAGACCGTTACCACCCTCTCCTCTCAGGGCTGGACCGAAGCACTCAGGCCTGCGAATGAGGAGACGCACCACCACATTGGCATTCTCTTCTACGCTCTCTCCTATGGAAGGGGGGGGGGAAACAAGGTATCTAGTGTTAATAAGGGAGAAAATAGAAACAATATGAGCATTTGAACAAAAATATTGCATTGTATAGCAAATAAAAAATCTGACCATTGACAAACACAGCAAAACGAAGAAAGTCAAGGTATTTCTCTCCGCCACAAGGATTCCAGCCAATGTCAGGATAGCCTTTGGACAGTAGCATTGGACAGCTCTGAAGTCCACATCCAGCTAAATACTTCACCACCTGGAAAGATAACGGTGTACTCGAGTGATGAAGAATTTTTCACAACGCCTGTTTCGTACATCGCACATTGATTGTGTTTTACCATTTCTAGATCCTGCTCTTGGAGAGCCAACGCCAGCTCGTTGTTGTCGATACAAGAGGCTGCAGCCACGTCCAAGGGAGTGGAGCCCCGCATTCCTAAAAAAACAGCACATAATGTCCAGCTTAATCACAGTTCAAACATCTAGAATAAATCATCAAGACTAGCTGGAACTGAACAAAGACAATCACCAAGGCCGATGCCACTGTTTTGGAGAAGGTAGCTGAGGTGGTCAAACATAGAGCGCTGATTTTGGCGACTGATGCGACAGAAATAGCAGAGAAAACGGCAGCAGTTTGTCACCACTCGAGGGAATCTGATCTCCTATTGGAAGGAAACATGTTACAAAAGTTAAGATTTGTGTTATTGTTTGCTTCGATGTATTGCCTGGTGGTAACATAAAGCAAGGTCTATTTGTATATTGAGCATGTTTGCATTGCAGTTGAGTGGAAACGAAAAACATACCTTTGAGTCCCCGCCGCCAAGCACATTGACCATGACCTCCATGACGGTTTCATGCATGCCCAAGGCTCGCATCAAGTTTGGGTGCTGATAAAAGACTTTGTTACTCATGATGTTCCTAAGAAAGACAAAAGTTAAGTTGATGTATAGTTATTGTCACATGCAGTTATCTAACAATTCACAATAAGGCAAGATATTCAGAATAAATCAAATTGTATATTAACCCGATGCTTTGAATCATAAGCCTCTCCTCTTCCGGACCCATCTGGACAATAAGCAGGGAGCGGATCTGGCCCAAGCACTCCAGCAAGTCCATGGTGTCGATAATTGACACTGCGTTGATGGTGTAGGCCTTGGGAAGGGCACGCATGAGCTCACCTAGCCCATCGTACTGTCTGTGAAGGAGGCTGAACATCATACGCACCAGCTCAGGGTTCTGGATGAACGACTCCTGGGCCCAATGGATCATAGTGTGGGAAATCAGCTCCTGCAGTGTGCCTGATAGACAGAGTACAAAGAGTTAAGAAAAAATACAAAAGATACTATGTACTGTACTAAAGTTACTGTAAACTGTGTACTGTGGGGTAGACAAACTCAATTAGCTACTCCAAAATTAGTGGAATGAAAGCTTCTGAATGTATTTCTATTTTCTCCAGACAAGTGTCAATACAAAGAAAAGATACAGTCTTATTGCAGTTGCGTGTGATATGGAAAAGATGAGAGGCTCACTTGGCTTTTTATCTTCCTGTGGTTCAGGCTCCACCTCTACCTTCTTCTCACGGATTCTTTTCACCTTTGCCAGCAAACGGACGAGTCGTCCACAGAGAGAGTTATCCACTTCTTCCTCTTGTTCTTCTTCCTCAATATGAACACCTAAGAGAGAGTTTTCAAATTAGATACTGTAATTTCCATATAAATCTGCCAACTGGAGTGTTCATTTATAAATGCAGATGTCGGTAGACTTGATACTGTTGATGAAGACTGACCACAGTGAGCCAGCAGAGCGTTGTGAAAAGTCAGCAGAGCTTCGCGGACCTCATCAGGAACAGGGCACTCTTCATCCTCAGCACAGTTCTTGAAGTTCATGAGCATGTTGACCTACACAACAGCAAGAAAAGGAACAAGTCAAAATCTGTTGCAAAAATGGTTAATCTAGGAAGTGATATGTTCTTTGATGAGTTTCTTTGATAGGATATAGAAGACATGTTTCTCCCATATGAATGTTTGTTTTAAACCAGTTGCACAGTTCTCAATTTGATGTTATGGCACTTTTATTTGCCCAGTCTTTGACCAAAATGAAAACAATACACCAATAACCAGTAAAAAAAGAAATGCAGGTTATATTCCTACTGGCTTTTTTGTTTTCAGGATGGAGATTTTCTTTAATTTAACAATTCTTAATACAATAAAACAATCTTGGGTGTACCTGCTCCTGTGGTGGGGAGCGAAATTCACGGGTCTTGCGGGCAGTCTCAGCGGCACTCATGGTGAAGGCCAGCATAAGTTCATTGTAGCGCTGCCTCTGGTTGGACTGTATCTGGCTGACGAACTGGTCTGAAAAAGCAGTGATGGCCTCCACTCTGTGACGTAGCTCACAGTCACAGAAATACTGCAGTAGAGTACACATCTAAAGGACAAAAGTAAAGTGAATCATTGATACTATACTTACAGTGTCACTGAAAAGAAGATTTTTTTTGGTATATTCTTAAACGACCAGTCATACCTGCAATTTGACAGACTCCGGTAACTTCATCTGGAAGAGTCCTTGCTCTAGATGTTCTTCTTTATCCTCCTCTTTAATCTCTTTCTCTGTTTCCTCTGCTCCTTTCTCGCCATTTACTTGCTCAGTCTCAACCACTTTTCCTTCATGTGGCACAATCGATTCTGTCTCTAATTCTTCCTCTTCCTCCATTTCTTCCTCATCCTCTTCCCCCAAGCCATCATCCTCATATTCCTCTTCTTCTTCTTGTTGCTCTTCTTTTGGGGGTGTTTTTTGTTCCTTCTCTTCCTTCAACATAGCATTCTCCTCAGCAGGCTCCTCTGCTTTCTTGCCACTGAAGACTGTGGGCTCAAGCATCTTCAGGATGTGTGTGACATCTTCATCATCAAACACACCCATGATGAGGAGGGTACTGATGAGCTTCAGGATTGGAACAAAATGAAACTCAACACTACCTCCCACAGGATCTCTCATGGCTTGACCTCCATCTTGCACAGCCTCGGTCAGCATGTTCAGGGCCTTGGTCTTTAGCACCTGGAAATACAAACAGATGTATGATTATTACTGACTCAAGAGGTCCTTAAAATACCAAACCTGTTCAACATCACCTGTAAGGGGATGACTGGACTCAGTGTGTAGATGTCCTGATTGGTTCCAACAAACCCAATGGAGGAGAAATGGAGTTTGGGACGCAGACATGTAGTAAGGCCAACCCCAGGTAAAGCATGAGATTTGTCAGAGTACAGAGTGATACTGCGTGTTTGGTCTGTCATTGGAACTATGAATTCCTTGTTGGTTCCCAGCCGGTTCCTCTTGGCAGACTCCAGGTGCATGCTGATGAGCAGGTCATAGAAGCCGCTCCTCATTGGTCCAGGTAGGTAGGTGTTCTCTATGGCGTAGAAGAGCTGGGACTCATCCACATGGCTGCACAGAGCGTGAGCCACACGGTTGTTGCCCAAAGCACACACTAAGCCATACAGCTTCAGAGTATGATAGTGGAACTTCAGCAAGTCCATACGTTCAGACAGCTCCAGGATGTCAATACACCTAGACGATACTAAACGGGTTAATTTTCACAAAAAAAATAAAGCGATACATTTTTGCAACTCTTAACAATGCAATTGATAAATGCAGACCAATGCAGCTCTGACCTGTTCTCTTCTGGGATGTGGAGGGCCATCATGCTGAGTGGCTCCTGACACTGCACCACCCAGCCAAGTCTCTCACTAATGCGACCTGTCTCTGGAGCCAGGAAGTGGTTGGGCATGCGGCTCCAGATGACTGGGGTTAACATCTGGACATCCAGTCTAGGAGGGCATTGGGGAACAGGGTTCTTGCGTTCACTCCGGAACATGGCGGCTGAGATCGGCATAATGTTCTAGAAAGACAAGTAAAGTAAGACACATTTGATGATAAGGAGAACTGTTACATAAGAAACTTGGGAATTTGTAATTGTAGTCTCCATGAGTGGAGTACTTTTTGTGACTGACCTTCAGCTTGCCTAGTTCAAACTGAATCATATTCAGACTGGAAGGAAGGACAAAGACAGCTGGGAACAGTTTTGTGTTGGGCTCCACCTGAAAGAGGGGAACATAACATGGTTGCATTAAATGACCAAGACTTCATAAGGACCTGTATGAATACCAGATAAAAGCTCATCTGACCTGGTAAAACGTGTTGATCTCTTTTCCATTAGCAGTGAAAGTCATGAGTCCTGTTTCCAAATCAATGAGACAACCAATCACAAAATCCTCTTGACTGACTCGGGTCTGCTGGGAGCTGCTGAACTCTCCTCCCCATACCATGTAGCAGTTACTGCGTTTTATACTGAGGAAGACAGAAAAACAATCCGTATGCATGCATTTATGTCATTTTTAAAGAAAATTAATATTTTTTTTAGTTTTCTGTCTAGAGAAGAGTAACATACCTGTCGTGTATGTTTCCTTTATCATCGCCGACAGTGACTGTTACATTTCTCACTTTGCTGATGTCAAAATGTGGGTCATACTGGTGATAGTCAGGTGTGACCCAGCCCACCCACACGCCACTGGGCTCCTGCCCCGCAAACACTCTCACAGAATAATAGTACTGGCGAAGGAAGAAGGGAAATGGGAAATAAACATTTGTACAGTTTCAGGTGGATATGATTCAACACAAAAGTTAAAGTCATCACAGTACTGACAGACAAGTTCAATATGAAAAATACTGTAATATAGGCAACATTTTTTATATTGTATGTTAATTATTGTATCTACATTTAACAGTATAAGTACAAATGAGCAAAGTGTGCACGGAGTTGACATGGTTATGAATAGGAAAACCCTATAAATAAAAGCTTTAGTTATACTGTAGTGGTGTTGAGGATGATGTCGACATCATCCCGGTCATCTGGCACCACATCTTCCATTAAGCGGGGCATGGTGGGAACAACAGGTGGTTGATTTATTAAAGCAGCCTTCTTAGCCTTGAAAAGGAATCTGTAAATAACAGCAGCGATTACTCACTATATGAAAATGTAAACATATTATGCCTGCCTTCTCGCCCATACACCCCTTGTCAAGTCAAGTCACTCTACTATGTGCATGAATCTATACAAACCCTTTCTTCTTGCTTTTCTCAGTTGAGGCATCCTTCTCATTTTCTCCATTTTTAATGGCAGGGATCTCTTTCGGCACAGACGGTTCTTTCTTGTCCTCTTCCTGCTCTTTGCGAGTAGCTGACTTCTTGAGTATTTCAAAGTCAGAGTCTGGGTCCACCTCTAACGCCTCATCCTCAGGGATTGTCAGCGCACGGGTAAGAAGGGTGGTCCCTGCTGGGACTTTGAAGGTCTCATGAAACTCAACTGGCATGCTGAGTCTGAAGAATAGCAAGTCTGTGTTGGCGTTCTGTGATCCAAATGTCTTGTGGGTCAGTTTGAGACAAGGGGCAGATTCCACTGTCCCATCAACACGGGACACCTAGAACATAAATGAGAGGGGGCCGGTGGTGATCTAGAAAATACTAACTTATTCATAATGGGAACAAAGAGATATCTCATCAAAACAAATAATGCACAGTACCTCCATGTGAGGATGATCAGTGGGCGCATTGATGAACTGGGGAAGGCTCTTGCTGAACCACATGGTAATGTCTCTTTTCATATTGATAGCAAAGGGTTCAAATCCCTCCTGCAGGCCACAGATGGTAAAATAACGAAGACTGCTGACGTTCTGACCTAAGTTGATCCTGCCGATCTGGGACAGGCCCAGGCTGCACACAGGTATGAAGCCTAGGGATGTTAGATACATACATGATCATCAGAATCAGAAACACAAACCTGTTGTCTCTACCTGAGAACTTAATTTGCTATTAGCTGTTACTGTACTTACCTTCTCCAATCTCGATATCCTTAAAGGCCATCTCTGAGCCTGAGTCGCTGATCAACATTTCTCCGTTGAGTGTAAACATGATGTTCATCTCCGTGAGGTCGATCATACAACCCACCACATCACCAGATAGCCACTGTCGACCAAATGGCTCATTTCCCACGTGCCAACGTTGGGCCTAAAAAAAGAAAATTGCTTATTTTAGAGGTTAGTATTACAGAGACTTTGGACAACTTTAGACGCATGAAAAGTACGTCTCGCTCCCACCTTGAAGCCATTGAAGACATATGCCAACTCATCTGCACCAAGTTCAGTGTCTGCACGAACACTGGGCCTGGCCCAGCCCACTCTCATCTCCCCGACTGTCACAGCCTCAAACTCAAAGTACCACTTCCCCTGTGTGACAGCATAAGATTTTTCTGCTCTGAACACTCTGATCTTATCACCAGTTGCTGGTCCATGCCCGCCTGCATAAACACAAGCACAGTAATTAAAAGAAAAGCTTGTAGTTTTGATAAAACACCTGCAACTTTACTAACGATTCTTGTAGGAATGCATGAAATAATAAAATATGCCATCCCGTTTGTAGATAACAGTGCAAACTTACTGCTCTCCTGGTCAGGTGGTTCTATGTTGTAACCATATCCGATGAGAGTGCGAACAGCTGCGCAAACTGTGTCCCTGTTGGTTTTTTTCGTCTTTTCATCTAGCAGGTTGTAAGGAACCAGACGGGGATTTCGCTTGTTCAATATATCCTACGCAAGAAAATATTAAACATAAAAATGTAAAGGAACAAAATTATGAAAAGAAAATGTATGCAGCATGTACCCATCATATTGTCGACACTGACTTATTAACAACATTATAAAAAGAATGGTGGTACCTGCACAATACTGTATGTCCAGCCCTGGCGAACCCGGTCTCTTGCCCACACATTGTGTCCATTTTCTGCCAGTCTCTCCACTAGAGCGTTCTGATTAGGAGTTAGCTTGACATAGTTGAGGTCCAGAGGGGCTGGCTTGTATCCGCTACTCTGCATGTAACTAACAAACAACAATTTTGTGATCAGAATGGGCCCCAAATATCTTTTACAAGGCCATTAACAGTACACATGATAAAATAGATCAATTTAACAAGATTTATCAGCATAAATTAATGTCTTGCAGCTCACGTTTTTGGGAGCTTGTTCTTTTTCAGATTCTCTTCGGCTTTCTCATCTCCCATTCCTACATGACAGCCTAGTGCCAGCAGAGTTCTTTGAAAATAATTACACAAGGCGTTAGAAATACAATGAGATGAAAGCACAGTGCGGTTAGCTGAATGAGGGCACTGACTTACTTGAGTGTCTCTCCTGACATCGCTAAATTGTAGTTCTTCTCTGGTTCAGGCAGACTCTGGAAGTCTACCAGGCAGGGGTGCAGCTTCTTGTTGTCGTCACGAAACTTAACAATGATTTTTTTTAAATTAATAAAGTGCAAAGATTTTTTCAAGGGAAAGTTTTGTGTACACAGCAACATTTTCTATGGGAAAGGCTGCAAACACTCACTGGTCCATAGGTCCACCCTTGTTCAATGCGAGTAACAGCCCATAACTCATGGCTATTTTCTGCAAGCTTCTCTCGAATGCGCTCCAAATGAGGAGGAAGTACAATCTGAAAGAATATTGAAATTCAGTGCAGAGGAAAAAAATGAGAATGAAAAAAAAAAAGACTGGAATAGGATTTTTACCTGTATAGTGTCCACAGGGCCAGGAGTGAAGGCTGTATGTGAGAGGGACTGAGTTGGACCCAACAGGTTGCGAATGGCATCAAAATCATGCTTATACTCCTTGATGGGCTCGATCCGTAGACGGTCCCTTGGCAGTACTGCTTCATAGCATGGAGCATATCCTGGAGGTGGGAGGAACTTAAAATCTCCGTGACGCCCCCCGAGAAGAAACCGCAACCTTGAATTCAGAGTGGAAAATTGACATTAATCATAAAAATGACACAATGGTACTGTACTTATTAAAGAATCCATTAATAATTCTTCATTTTATAATGCAAAATGCCCTACTTAACGCCTGCAGAGAAGCTGACAACAGGGAAGAACAAGCTGTCCAGGTTGAAGTTCTCAAACATGCCCTGAACAGGATGCCCATTGATACGGAAGGAAATACTGGGCACGCTCAGATCCAAACAACAGCTGACCACATCTTCTGCTGCCAGGAGGTGCTCATTGGGTGTGGCAACATGACGCGGAACACGTCCTGTGGAAATACAGAGAGAATTAATTTGTATTTTGTCAATGTGCATGAAATTATAAGGAGTTTATCTGAGTAACTTGTATGCATAATGTAGGAAAAAGTAGGCAACACTGGCACCACAGCACAATATCACAATAAAGAGAAAGATACAATTTAAAGAGTTTTAAATAACGGTAATACATGCATATGCTTGTAAATATGTTGTTCACATCTGAGCCAGGGATGGTGCCGGTGCTCAACAAATACTGAGTCATACCATGTTTACTTTACCTGACCAGAGGTGAAGCCCGTCGAAACCGTAGGAGTAGAGGTCATCCCCGACCCCGTTGGCCCCCCAGCCTTCCCCTCCACCAGGGTAAGGACTGTAGCCCTCCGTCAGAGCCCAACCCACACGCAGGTGATATGGCTGAGCTGTAAGGAACGGCTCCACTTGGTCCACCATCACCTCAAAATACCACTTCTTGTACTGAGTGGATCCTTCACAAGTTCCAAGGAAAATGTTGGGTCTAATGCTAAAGGAGATTTACAAAACAATGTGCAGATGTTTTGATAATTGGGCTTCAGCACAGAAGAAAGAGCATAAAGCTTTTTTAAGCCTGTACCAAAGTGCTTTGACACACATTGACCCACCTGGTTACATAATTGATAATGTTGGTTTGAAGTAGGAGGTCACGACCTGGAAGCAGATTCTCTGTGATGAGATTCTGATTTGACCTCACCGCCACTCCATTACACACACACAGAGAGCAGAGCACATCCAAGACCTGCCAAAAAGGGGATATAGATTGTTCCAGTGCTGCTTTGTAGCTCAATATTTAATCTATTAAAGAATATATGAACTGCAATCAATCAATTGGGTTTGCTCAGCTAACAGCTAAGTAAAACGTGTTACACGTTCCTGACCTTGTGATTGCGGCCATGCTTATCCAGCAGAGAGATGATGGATTTGATGTGATTTTCCTGAATAATGTTCAGCACCTCTGGACTCTCAATCAGGACACAATACAACACCTCCAGGATTCCTGTCATAAAAATGTGACAATATATACATAAATAAACACTGGCAGTACATGACAGAAAAGCACAATACAATATAATACAGCCTTGGACACAATAACAGGAACAAATTTAAAATATAACGCAATTGAATGCAACACACCAATCTATTCATAGTTGTTTGTTGCAAAAATATTATTAAATTGCATCATATCATCATTCACAGTTAATGTTAACATGATCAGTCTCGTACATTTTGGATTTTGGAAAGACCAAACAACAAAAAATACAATGTTCATTGTAGTCACAGCATCTAAATGAGCTACTATGTGTCTTAGATACCTGAAGATGCCTCCAAACGATCCAATTTACTGACCAGCCAGTCAAGGTTGTCACAGAACAGGGCACAGTTAGCACGATTGCCTCTGATCAAAGAGGCTTCACAAAGGAAGAGAAGCAGAAACAATTGTTAATGCATCACATTCACAAACAAGAAAGGTGGCTCGATATGAGGGGGGGGAGGGGATAGTGAATGATCTAGAATCGACATGATTGCATAGAACAAATAACCAGATGGACATACCAAGCAATTCATACAGTAAATTTACTATCTCCTTCCATGACTCTGCGGCTTCCTCCCCAGCATACTCTGAGAAGTGAGCTGCTGTGTTGTAGACATTGAGGCGATCTACACAGTCCAGGACATGAGTAATCATTCCCTGTTAAAAACAATAAAAACATATAGAGAACTCAAATACAAATATTGAAAGGATATAAATCAACCAAACTAAATTTAAACCCAATGCCACTGTAAAACATTTTCATGAATAGTCATTCGTCAGTAGTTAGACCAACCTCTTCCTGGAAGAGGTTCTGTCTGTTCTTGAGGGAGCGAAGCTTGAACTGTTTGTCCTCGTGCTCCAGCTCCTCCTCGGGGGGTCGGAAGTAAAAAATGAGGTCCTGCAGGGAGAGCACCACTGTGTCCATAGGCAGAGATGTGGAGTTGGGAGATTTGTTTTTCCCACCCAGAGCATCTAAACCTCTGGAGACATTAAAAAGGACATGAGAATACCACAAAAAGCATGATATAACCTTTATAAAACATGGCTATTGGCAAAGATTTGAATAAACTGAAGTAGTGTACTTGATGAACTGGTTAAAGAGGCCTGATGTGCTGAAAATCATTCTGCCAGCTTGGGACTCTTCGGTCTGAGATCGAGCCACTGTGAGTGCATCATCCATGTGACCTTCTTTATGGAGTATGGCCTAAGAATTAAACACAGGTGCTCTTAAAACACAAGTATATACTCAACAACCAAACATACTGTACATACAGTACATGCTGACTTAATCCTGCTTTACCTTTCTCTTTAGAGGACCCAGGCGGGCAGATTTGGCATCAACAGCAGCATATGTGAGCCAGAGGCCAGTTGAAACATGCTGTACGAAGCACATGGACTCTCCATACTTAATCTCAGGCGTGCCCATGCCTTCCACATCTCGCTTTTGGATCAATTCGATTTTTTCCTGTGGTAAAAAAGAAAAAGTGTGTAAAAATCTACACACGACACAATGGAGTCTCAAACACTTAATTGATTTCTGGCTCAGGTGTCTTTGAATGACAATGACCTTTGAAATCCTGAAGCAGAAGGCTGACATCTTGGAATTTGCCTTTTCCGGGTCCACCAGCAGCAGTCCTTTCTCTTCATCCAGACAAAGGTATCGGCCTGTTGTTATGTGACGTATCCGGAAAGACTGGCCCCATTTAATGTGACCCCCGCTCCAACTACCAACGGGCACAAATGAACGAGTTTAAAGTGACTAACAATGAGTGTGGTAACACACGTTTTTTTAATGCAGGGAATCAAGTTACTCACCCGATACGGAGTGGCTCAAGTCGCCATAAGGATCGAGCATGACTGCATACAGCCCCTCCTTCATAATGAGCAACTCTGAAAAAACAATAACATGCCAAACAATGGCGTGCTACACGTGTCAGGAAATTTAAGGTTGGAAAAATTTAAAAATGTTTTTGTTAATTTACAGTGGTTTCAGTTCATGCTAGTACATTATGACAATCAACTTGCAGAATCTTGAAACTGTGTTGAGATAGGTAGCACATCACAATGAACACTTGTCAGTTTTTCCATAGTTATATGGTGATACAGGTTGCAAGCATGGACCACTCTGGAAACCCCTTGCTGCTGAGAGACATTAACAAGCATTGTTGCCAAATCTAACCAAACAGAAAAAATATTAATTATATTTATTTGCATTTCATGCTAAGAATAAGGGGAGTTGTTTTTCATTGTTTGTTAGCCAAACTCAAGTCACAGGGGTGTAAGAGCTTTCAATAGAGTCCCCACACAAGAGGCGTGTTTTAAAATGTAGAGCACATACTGAAAAACATATGCTATGCTTTGGAAAATGGTTGAGAATGACATAAACATTTGGTGGCAAGTACAGCAATGAAAGATTTTGGTCACCTGCGCTGGTCGTCCCCTTGTTCAGCTCCTGGGATTGCCAAACACTCGTCCATGTGACCATGGAACAGCCTGAGCACGTACCCTCCGGTCAGAAAACCTAGAGGAAAAGAGTGATATTGCTGAGAGAGTGGACAGGTTTATGGACAAAAGAGACTTTTTTTTAGCAAGAATAAAATTACAGACCTTCAGCCAGCTCACATCCAGACATCACAGGGGTCATGGTCCACAGTGTTTGCATGAAAGAGGCATCTACCATCAAGTCACCACTGGCGTAGGACAAATGCTGAAAAAGTGCAGGTGGTTATATTGGTAGGATTTAGAGGAGACCCCGAATAGTCGACTACTCGATATAAGGAGCCTGATTCGACTGCCAATCTCACCTGTAACTGTACAATGCAAGTAAATAAAATCATGGTTACCAGGTATCGCTCTGAAGAAACACTGACGAGAATGAGGTCATCTCCCACCCTGACCTTCTCACCTTCAGACCTTTGCTTGGAGGCTGGATGGATGGTCCACCAGCAGGCCTCTCCTGTGATGGACAATTAGATCTAGAATGCAGAAATCTACATCGGCGTGTGTGCGACATAATGGACGGTAAATTTCATACCCACCTGTGGAATCTTCCTGCAAACCCACATCAAAAGCCAATTTGTCTGTCAGTGAGCGCGAAGTAGTCAAACAGCACAAGTACTGCAGCACGAAGAGAGGGAGAACAACTTAGTGGCGTGAGATGACATGCACTCAAATTAATTTAGAGAATAATACTGTGAGGATAACTGCTGCTTATAGAGGACAGGACAGAGCACCATTAGCCATATCATTGATTGTAAATGGGCTCACCATCAAACTAATAAACATTGTTCACAAAAGAAATGTGCTCACCATGCTGGAGTGAGTGTGCTTCAGGAGGATGGCATGTCCATACAGCAGGGTGCGGTGACCCCCACCTTGTGACGACTGGGAGAAGGATGTAGAGGCAGGCAGATTTAGAGACAATCAAATGTACAAGGGATGACAGGAGGTCAGCGTATTCAAAGCTGCCCCTTTGAAAACCCTTCAAGGTGACTACTTTGATTTGTTAATATCGAAATGACAGTAGGGCAAGTTTACAGACTCAGTGAGGAGGAATAAAAACCACAGCCAAATCTTACAATTGTAGTGCAAGTGATATGAAACAAACTAAGTTATCTCAGAACAGCTGAGGCAAATGAGCAAAGCAAAAACGAAGTGGTATGATATGTCGCACGACGGCTGTATGTATGATAACACTAATGAAGGTGTGAAAGGTAGCCCCAAAGCAGTTATGATGTGAACTCTGAGGCTAAAGCATTGGACAGACATTCAGTGGCACAGTGATAGAGTGAGAGAACATACCCATTTGTCCAAATCAACAGCCTAAGGTTGGCAGGTGGCAGAGTGAAGGAACAAGTGGCGTCAAGTCGGAAAAGAAACAAAGTGGGTTTTAGTTGTTGAATGAACAAGACATTGAATTTGTTTATTGTATCAGGCGCACATCCCATGGAAAAGCAGCACATTTTAATTAAACAGTACTGTTGTGTTTTACCTCATCCACGGAAGAGTTGGACAGCATTTCCTGTAATGCCCGCACAGAAAGGGACTGTTCCAAGATGAAGCAGCAGATAGCAAGGTCTGGAGGGATATTCTGAAACACAGGAAGCCAGTAAACCCTGTGATTAGTATGAATTAAAATTCTCACAGAAAAAAGAAATCAGGCAGTTTCACTACCTGAGCATTGGAGGTGGTCTCCAGGAAACAAAGACGATTCCCAAATCCTTCGCATGACAGACACAGCTTGATCTGTTCCTTAAGAATAGATGCAGTGCACTGCAGCACCACCTGATCATCCTACAAAAACAAAAACAAAAGTCCAAAGTGAATATTACAATTTTCAAAAGAAGAACTGCATATCTTCTAATGCTATACAACTTTAATCTTAAAATAATACTACAATAATTTAGCAAAGCACTTTTATTAGCTGAAAAAAGTATGAAAAATAGATGCAGCAGAACCAGAGACATTTTCTTTTGTTAAGTTGTTTCTATTTTTGAATTGGGACAATGCACAAAAAACATCAACCTTATATAAAACAAGGACAGATTTAATTTCTTCATCATATTGTTATTTTCCATCCATTCGCTCTTTATCCTTTTGGTAAACCTGGCCCCTACATTACCCACAATGCAACTCAACTGCCGAAAGCTCGGTTGGAGATTCGGGTGTGTGTTAGTAGCAGCTAATGTAGCCTCAAGCAGGGATGAGGAGCGAGATTTTGACTTTGTGCGGCTGCCCTTTGGAGCACAAAAGGCTTTTCATTGCTTTGTTTTTACATACTTCACAGACTTTGATGTGTAAAAATGCCCCTTTAAATGCATCCTGTAGATCCCGGATTACATTATGCCTCTTACATATTAAACTTGCCTTCGTGGCTCTGCTAGGTCAAATCCATATGACGCAAACTGTACTATATTTGCAAGGGGTTACATTACAAGTAAAACAAAATTAGAGGTGGCTACGCACCAAGGAAGCTGTTAACAAAGGAACACAGATAGCGTCGACGTCTGACTGTATCTCACCACATAAATAATCTAGTTTTGGCCACCAAACAAACTTTAATACGAGAGACGACATTGAGGCCTAAATAAATAACAGAAACTTGGCAATACATCAATTATACAACACGCAAAAACAGCTGTTTCTTTACACAGCTTTTCTTAACCTTCAGTTGTTTTTGTCCTGTTAATGTATTTCTCTGTGCCTGTCACCGGCCCAGCTCTAATCTCCCCACCTCGCTGGCTCCAAGACCCCAGCCACTCCCCCTCTGATCTCTATTTCAGGCCGCTGCACCTGCTGTTCACACACCCCCTTCTAGAAAGCAACAGATATTTAGGATTTGACTGCCAGAGAGCCCAAATTGGACAGATTCGATATCGTAATTAGTCGGCTTGCTGAGGAGAGGAATATTCAAAGTTCACCTTATCTCAATCCTTCATGCGCATATGTTTGTGTTTTATATTAGCAAATGTTTCTGGCTCATTCATACCCTTAATCAAGGCACAAGCTAGTAAATAACAATTGTCTTTTTTGTAAAACTACAAGTTCAACATAGTTGTCAAATGTCGGTTTGTGTTAAACTATTATACAAGTTAATGTAGTTTGTGCTTTATTGTTTCTGAAGCTGGAAACTGGAAACAAGAATTTGTATTGTGCCAGAGTAAAGATTTGTGAGCTTGTTGTACAGGGGAGTTGGTGCAGTCTGTTTCCTCTTCATCTATCTTACATCCTGAATCCCTGGACATCTCAAATATCTTAACAATAACAATGAAATACCTAAACAGTGGACTTGAAAGTCAAGTTAGTAGTTTGCTCATAAATTACAACAGTCATTATCCTGAAGCATGTGACAGCTGTTGATACCATACGGACAATTCCGCAAAATATTAGCGACCCTACGACAAATTGACAATCCCACCATAGCATACGACAGGAGTAAGCATCGAGTTCCTATCACGTTCTGTTCTTATTAAGTTACTGTGTGGACAAGAATGTGTCTACAGGCAGACACACCAACAGACTGACTGACAGACTGAAAGACAGATGCAACATGACAACATGAGGCTGGCAGCTGGGTGTTTATCGGAAATATCAACCGTCTTTGCTGGAAGATTTGCCATGTAAGAACTATTATAGAAATCTGACAAAATGTTTTTGAAACCATGCGTCTGATAACAAACATTTCTAGTATTACTTTAGCAGTGAAGTTCCCACATGGACTGAAGTAAGCAGGTGCTGAAATGGGCCAAGCTTTGAACCTGTTAATCCTCACACAGTATATATAGAACTCTGAGTTCAGGGTGAACAGCTTCAGACTGACGGTGACTTTATGACACATTGTTAACATATTTATCTTTAGCACTGTGTTACAAACCGTGAGACAATGCGAACTGAAAAGATGATTTATGTAGCTGCTAGATTAAATATGCAAAAGAGGACATTTGAATTTGATTGTGTTCATGCTCAACTAAATATTAAGTAGATGTCTCTTTAAGCAAAAACACACTTCAGGATGCACAACGTATAATCAAGTGCCTACTAGTGTTAGTTATAATGCAGTCTATAGATAATCAGTGTCGGGGCTAGAGTTACCAGTTACTAGAGAAACTCAAGTGACACTATGTGAAACATCTACAATAGCTGAGTATCCAAATAGAGCGTGTTGGATACAGCAGACTGCTTGCAAGCCTACAATGCCCTTCTGTAGACTTTGGCACAGAGATCTTAACTGGGAATGAGATAGCTCAGCGATGAGTAATGCAACAAAAATAAACTGATTTCAACGAAATATCTTAAAACATGCACTGTGAGATCAAATGAAGTAGAAATTTTTAAACTTCAATGTAACACTTCCAAATATACTGAAACCTCCTTATGCAGGATGTTTATATCAAAAATACATGTGACCAAAATCACTAATTTGGGTCGCATTAATACAAAGACATAGAAGAAGTGTGTGGAATGACCCGATATGTCCATATTACATTTTGTTGTGGGACATCATACACAGTAAGTGATCAATTAGTGTTTACAAATAGTTACGTCTTCTAAACAGCACAGAATGAGGACTCTGCAACAGATGACGTCCATCTGTACGTATTACATGATGTTTGGTCTAAGTTATCACCAATCAAACTATTTAGGTTTTGGACACTGCATCTGTCAAATGTAATTTTTTCTAAAAATGGTAGATGGAAATTGGTGGTTACTCCTTACGAGATAATGAACTTGTCTAGTTAACATAAATAATAAAGGAATACAACCCAGAATACTTAACTTATTCCTATTTTCATTCTCTCTAAAAGCAAACAACAACAGGACCGAGTATTTCATCTGGAATAACATCAAGCAACACACGGTGATACTCCATCGTCAGGTTGTTGAAGGACTTTGTTTCTTGAATTTTTTTGCTGAAACTCTACAACCGTATCAGCATTATTCTGTTGAAGATCTTAAGCCAGGACATAAACATCCACACACTCATCACACGACTATAGTACAATTGAGTCCAGCACACTACCGTTCACTATTAATGAATTATTAGTTCAAGCATTTGTTATCGAATGAGTCTGGCTGCCTCCAATCTTGCTTTAGGATGGATCTGTTCAAATTTACAATCTAGACTCAACTGCCTATTAAATAAACTACTCATGAGAACTCATTCTTATTTTTTTAAATCAACATTTAATTATCATAATTGTCATCAAAGTAAATATTGTCCATCAAAGTCAATTTAGTTGGTGTCAGTCAGTGTCCGAATGTCACAATACTTTCATGTAATTGTATCTAATTGCTTTTGGTAATCTAATATATGTTTACATATTAATTGTCACCTGGCACCAGCAGTGTTCTTCTTTAAGACAAAACAGAAATATATCAAGGACCTGTTGGGATATTATTAGATAACAATGCCGACACAACCAGCCACCTGTCCTTGTCAATCTATGCTCAGTCTGTGAAAAGAAAATACTCAACAAAGTAAATGTCTATGATCTATTAAGAAGCAGCAATTCATTACGCAAATAGCTAATTATTGTACATAGTCGACTGATTATGTTTACTAAAAGTGTTTGAGAAGAGTCAGACAGCATCACTTACCGTACGCAGAAACTGAATCTCTTCCTCTCCATCTGCACCTTCTGCCATTTTCCCAAGGCATTAAAGGCAAAACCTTGAGAAAATGGGAAAATGTTTGTCCCTCAGTTCTGTAACTCCTGGTGCAAATTTGCCCACCACATAAGGCAAGACAATATTGGCCAAGGTGTCTGAAGGGCAATGTGGGTCCTGTGCCTCTCTCTGGCTGTGGTATGAGGCAGAGGGATTGACTGTTCATTCCTGTTCATTACAGCATCATAAAGAGGTGGAGCAAGTTGTCAAAGCTGAATCAGTGATTCAAATGTTCCTGTTGGGGAATTCAGACCATTGTTTTGCACTATGTTGTTGCATTATAAACAAAGCAAGACATTGAATCTAAGTGAGAACTCTTATAATGCCATAACAATTGAAAAATGTGCCAAATAAAGATAACGATTTTATTAACATAATGAATGAACGATGAATGAACGATTGAAGTTGTGAAACTTCAACCTTAGGAGTATGCAATGTATCATCTGCGACCTATTTAATTTGAGTCTTTTCATGAATTATCCATTATTCATGATTTTGCGGTACATGTGGGAGTATATACATAAAATTCACAATAAAGAATAAAAGACATAAATGCATTAATTGATTAACAAGATAATGTTATGTTAGCTTATATAACTTCTGTTCACAGACAAAGGTTTATTTTATTTATTTATTTGTAATATACAGTAGTATATATAGTAATTATCAATTTAGATGTCTTATTAATATTTACATTTCAAATATATTGTCATCAAATAGTAATAAGACTAAACTAATAAATGAGATCCGCATATAATGCATGTGTGTATGTAACTAAGTGCTTTCTAAATTAAAAAGAGAAACTATGCCAACACTAACAATATGAATATTAGGGTTAATAAGTACAGAGTGCATGTTGTTAAAAAGTTATTACGTCTTGTATATAATTTTACAGTTTTGGAATTCAAATTATATAATTTAGCTACATACTCATCAACTTCCTGTAGAGGGCAGCAGAACGCACGAGGTGAGCAGCGCAGCCGTGTTTATTATCCGATTTCTGTAGAAGAAGAAAACGGTACGTCGGTGAAACAGTTCCCCCTTCATTTCCAAAACACAAAAGCAGTGTCAGGTGAGGGCTGTGAGCAGTTTTTAATCAGCAGTATCAACTATATTATGTCGAATAGTAACAGTATGTGTCCGTTATGGATGTAATAACCTGCCCTGTTGATAACGTAACGCTAGCTGGTGCGCTACGTTACTGTACGAAGCGGCTAATGTGTTAACATTGGTGAATGCTTTGCTAATGTTTATGTCGTTTGTAGCACTTCTATGCGAAGAGGCGTAAAGCTCGCTGCAGAGGAGAAGAATGGATGCCCTCGCCCACATGCTCACAGGCCCTCTTGATGTAAAAGAAGAAAACGATGAGCAAATCACAGAGGAGTGCATGCTGGGTAACTGTAGATTGAACCTGCCAGAGGACCTACTTGAGGACGTGAGTTATCTGGTCATGAAATGCTGCTCTGTCCTGCCTTTGTACGATTGCTCACACGCATAAGACACAGTGCAGATTCTGCATTAATTGTCGCTTTTGTTTTCATTAGCCTGACATTTTCTTCTCCGTGATGAGTGCAAACACCTGGAGTGAAGTACTGTCAGACTCCCAGAGACAGCACCTCCGTCAGTTTCTGCCCCAGTTTCCTGACAACAACGTTGCGGAGCAAGACGGCGCCATCGGGGACCTTTTCAACAACAGAAACTTCACCTTTGGAAATCCCCTTCATCTTGCACAGAAACAATTCAGAGGTGATTCCCTAGCTATCCACTTATTTACCCACCAACACATAACTATACCCCACAAGTGGGTTTTTTTAAGCATTTTCTGATCATGACTCACATTATACATCAACCCAGATGGTTACTTCAATCCTGAGGTGGTCAAGTACAGACAACTGTGTGCCAGGTCCCAGAGAAAGAGACAGCTGTACTCCCTTCAGCAGTATTACCACAGACTTCTGAAGCACATCCTTGTCTCCAGAAAGGTATTTTTTTGTGAAAGCTTAAAGTACAATCCACACCGCCTCCTGCCATTAGTCTTAATGTTGTCTTATTTTTGTAGGAGCTGCTGGAGTTTGCGGTCCACAGTGGTCTGGACTTTCCACCTAAAAGGAAGTTACCGACCAAGACTCAGGCTGAAATGCGGGAGCCACGGGTGAGAAGAAGACTGAGCCGCATATTGAAGGAGGTCAAAACTGAGTGTGGAGACAGCAATGCTTCATCTGATGATGACGGTCAGTCGGTTCTTTCATTACTATCACTGCCGATAACTTCACTGTTCTCCAGTAAAGAACTTATGAACACTAATAAGAGTCTTATTGTTTAATGCTTGTAGACATATCATTATGGGCTCCAGCACCTCAGTCACCTTCCTCTCCGACACCCACCGTCTCGCTGAGAGTTCTTCCCAGCCTCTCCACCCAAGACATGAAGACTACTGGTCAGGGCTTTCTGCCGTATCAAGATGATGTCACTCAAATGTGTGAGCGTGGTGAATACGATGTTAAAAAGACATTTCATTTCTTTCACAGAAGGAATAGAACTAGGGGAGCAGGATTTGAAAGCCATGCTGCATAACCATCGGGAGAAGAGGAAGCGACAGCCAGTAAGTGGTGTCACAGATATGGTTTAGTCTTGATTTGCGTAATATGTAATTAATGAGTGATTTATTCAGGATCATCCAGACTTGATGACCTCTGACATCCACCTCGGAGACATACTTTCACGAGCGAATATTGGTCGGAAGGGGGCTATGTGTGAGTAAAATAATTAAATCTTAAGGAAAAGTCTTGGTTTCATGACAGATAGTTGAAATGTTTCTTCCCCTCTTTTTTTTTTTCTTGCAGCATTTTTTGATCTGTCTCTGCCTAAGAAGAAGATCAAAGACGAGAGAAGGAAGAAGAAAATGAGGACAATAAAAGTGGAATCTGAGGATCCCTGTGAAATTCTTGCACCATCAGACACCCCATCAGCACCAACGGCGAGCATCATCAACTCCCTGCCAGACACCCCGTCTACTCCACTGGCCAACATCAAGGAAGAGTGAGTTTAGCGCTACACAAGTGTATGTATACCTTGTATATGCATATAACCATTGAGTCTCCTGTTCTCAAAAACTACTCAGAATTGTGGAGGAGTGTCCGAGCAGCCCGGTTCCAGTTGAGGAAATAGCCATCAGTTTCTTCAGCTTGCTGGAGAGCGTCTTAAGGGCAGAACTCTTTACAAGCACTTCACTGGTATGCACTCATTGCAGACTCTCACACACACATTATAAAAACAATGATCACAGCTCTGGCTGCGTGTTGTAAAACGCCTACGTTGTGATCTCACAGCTGGAGGAGAAAGTTCAAATGTGGCAGTCCTCTCCAGCCAGCTCCCTCAATGTGTGGTTCTCCTCCGTCCCGTGTTGGTCCGACTTGGTTCTTCAAGCCCTGCAATTTCTTGCAGGAGAGACTAAAGGTATGAAGCAGGACACTCACACCGAAACGGTCAGGCGTTGTTTTCCACCCACTGTTACTCATGTATGGTGTGTTTGCTAATCAGATGGAATGATGGCCCTCCCCAGTGGATTTTCTCCATTTGTGGAGTTTGCTGACGACTCTCAGCAGTGGAGGTGGATTGGTAAGAGGGATCCGTTTTTTTTTACATCCCAGATTGATGCAGTGCTTGCTGTTCAGACTGATTTGTATTCTTGAGGATAAAAGTCAATTATTTATTTTAGGCCCCACTCAGGATACAGAGAAGGATCTCAGTGCACTCTGTCAGTTGTGGCTGGACTCCAAAGACTTGGTTATCAAGGTAGTACAGTTATTATATCACAAACACATTTCACATGCTATACCACTGTGTTTATGGTTACAGAATGTTTTTGGTTTTTTTTGTCTTTCATAGACAGAAAATGAGGACATGCTAGAGATGACTTCTCCCACACCAAGAGTGTAAGATTCACAGCGTTTTTATTGTAAAAAATTCACTAATTAAATGATCGACCAGTAATTAATTTGATTTTTATTTGTGTTGCTTGTAGGACAACGCATGCCTTTTTAAATTAATTTAATTTGGTCTATTTAAGATAGAAAATTTCACAATCAAAAAATGTCTTATCAATAAATATAAGAGTTATTCGTAGCCTGACTTTAACATAATAAAGTAGTTTTAGTTGTTGAAGCTAACAGTGTAATATCTCTAACAGCTCAACTGATTATGTGGTGCGGCCCAGCACTGGAGATGAGAGACAAGTGTTTCAAATCCAGGTTCGTTTGTGCTGCTGGATTTTTTTTAATCTCATTTACAACATTTTTGCCTTATTTTGCCTGGACATGAACTCTCTAAGCCAACAAAATGTTTCATTTTTTATTTTTTTTTAGGAGCAGCAGCGATACAACCAGCCACATAAAGCCTTCACCTTCAGGATGCACGGCTTTGAGTCTGTGGTGGGGCCGGTTAAAGGAGTGTTTGATAAGGAGATGTCTCTCAACAAAGCCAGGGAGCACACATTGCTCCGCTCAGACCGACCACCATATGTGACCATTCTCTCTCTGGGTTAGGCCTTCTCTTTTACTCTCTATCGTCAGGCTTTATCGAGTGTGTACGATTCTGACTTCTCCCCTCTTACTTCCGCAGTGCGCGATGCAGCAGCCAGGTTACCAAATGGAGAAGGAACAAGGGCAGAGATCTGTGAACTGTTGAAAGACTCTCAGTTTCTTGCTCCAGATGTCACCAGTGCACAGGTAAGGTATGCATTATTTTGGTGTCATTCAGCTAACTCTTGCAGAGTGACTTGTGTGTGCCGTACATTGGCCTGCAGCCTTTAAGTTATTGCCTTCTTTGCCATTTAGGTGAACACCGTTGTCAGCGGTGCCCTGGATAGACTTCACTATGAGAAAGACCCCTGTGTGAAGTATGACATCGGCCGCAAGCTCTGGATTTACCTGCACCGCAGTCGCAGTCAAGAGGAGTTTGGTGAGAATCCATGTGCTTTATTTTAGGGTTTAGCTGTCCACCTTTGTAGTTGGTTCAGTAAGTGTAAAGACCTCTAATTATGCACTTGTTTGAGTAGAGGCAGCCAATAAGGAGCCATTTGTCTAGTTTGATGAGCCGACTATTGTCTGAAAAGAAGATGTACGCAATTTATTTTAACCCTCACAGTGTATGCTCCCAGTCTTCAAGATCACAGTGATATGGAAAATGTTTTTTTCTTTCATCCAGAGAGGATCCACCAGGCTCAAGCTGCTGCTGCAAAGGCAAGAAAAGCCCTGCAGCAAAAGCCTAAACCTGCATCTAAGCCTGTGAGTCCACTGCCTCCATTTTACTGCAGAATAAAAGCGACGCGTAGCTGCACACAGCCGTGTTTTCAGGGTCTGAGAGCAACATGTTTGTTATGAATCTCCTGTTTATGTTTTAGAAGTCGGGAAGTAAAGACGGAGGCAGTAAAACCCTGGGATGTCTGGAGGCGGGACAGGATACAATCTCCAATCCCATGTCTCCGACCCCTACAACACCCACCCCGATCCCACCTGGAACCCCTAAGTCCCCCTTACCCTGCACAGCCACCACGCCAACAAAGACCGGAGTCCCTGATACAATCAAAACCAGCACAGGGTCAGTGTGACACAATTCAGTTTGTACTATACATGCACCCATTTTCATCTGTGTGATTTGAAATGGAACCGTCTCCTCTCTTGCCCCTTCTCGCTCTCTTCCAGAGTTCTTCTTGTGTCCCCTCCCTCGTTGCCCCAGCTGGGAACCATCTTACCCACCAGTCAGGCTTGTCCGCCGGTTTCTCAGCCAGTCACATCCCAACACACGGCTCGCATAGTGAGTCACCTGGCGGCGGGCTCCCTCCCTCAGGTACGGGTCGTTTCTGCTCATCCGGGTCTGGGTTCTTCGGCAGGAAGTCAGCAGGCCACACTGGTCCATCAGACGCCTCACCAGATCAGGATGCCGGTGTCGATGGCAGCCAAGGGCCTTTCACAGGTAATCAAATAACGAGCTGCGTTTGTTGTTTTGCATATTGCAAATATATATGATTCATTCGTCGTGTGTTTTCATTAGGCAGTGGTTTCTGTGCCTCTGAGGAGTCAGTCTGCCAGTAGTCCAGTCCAGGTGCCAACCACCCTGTCTGTGTCTACCGTAGCTGTGGCCAAACCTCATGCCAGATCACCTGCTAGCCCAGCAAACAACCCTGCTTCCCCTGCAATGCTGCAAGGAGTCGCCGGCCCAAGTATCAAACAGGTACCTGCTGCCTTTACTGGTTTCAGCTAAAATAGTCTGCAGGTTATGGAGCTGACCGAAACAGAAACTCCATATCCTTAAATAAGTAATGTAATTTGCCACGTTAATAACCGCAAGATGTGTCTTTTGGTGTTCTTTAAAGGTGTCCATCACAGGCCAGTTGGGAATGAAGACTGCAGGAGGAGGAGGAGGAGGAATTCCAATCACGGCTACAAACCTGCGCATCCAGGGTAAAGATGTGCTTCGTCTTCCATCGTCCTCCATCACCACGGACGCCAAGGGACAGACGGTGCTGCGGATCACCCCAGATATGATGGCAACTCTTGCCAAATCCCCAGTTGCAACCGTCAAACTCACGCCCGACTTTCTGGGTTCTGGCGGCGGCAAGACCATATCAGCCACTCTCCACATGACGCCGCCCCACTCTTCACCTTCCTCTGCCGGTGCTACATCCTGCACGGGGGAAGTGCAGACCACTAAAGCGGGCTCCACCGCTTCTAGCTTGTTGAAGGCGGCAGGAGACACGGCCATACGACTGATGCCCACGCTGGCGGTGACTATGGCTGACCAAAAATCGAGGACCTTCTCCAGCGTGTCCTCCCCCGACAAGAGTGGCGCCACCATTCGGATAATGCCGGGACTCGGTGTTATTCCACAGAAACAAGGTCAGACCATCACGGTGACGACCACTACCGGCAGTAAACCGCTCACAGCGTCGACATGTGCTAATGTCATGACCATGGCTGCCAGCGTCGTGGCCGGTGCCAAGGGGATTACGGTGACTCCTGGAGTCTCGTGCTCCACTCTGACGCTAGGAACAGCTACAGCCACTGTGCGGCAGGTCCCTGCTACTGTGGTCACCACTCAAACGGTAAGATAGTTATTCTGTTAATGTTCAGATTGTGAAGAAATTTGCGAGGGTTTTATGGTGTATCATTCCCATCGTATGGGGTAAATAGTTTAATTTGATTCCCGCTACTGTACACCAGAAATCTTCATATTTTATTCTTCATATTTTTAGACTCACTTGAACAGGTGTGTAGCACTTAGGATGCCATTCAGTCAACCATTTTTAGGACCTTCATGTAAGAAGTATGGTGGCCTCTAGGGGCCACTGTTTCACTTTGTTTTTTCATGTTTCTTAAATACCAAACTGATAAACAGCAATCTAATACATTAAAGTATATGTTATAATACTAACCACACATCTCTTGTATTACAGACAATTTAAATAACATTGCACAAATGAATATATTGTTTTATTACAATGATGGACCATATATGTATTCAGTTCTGAAAGTCACATGTCTCGGGAACAATCCTCTTTATTTTGACACCACTGTAGGGGAAGTTACCGACCAGGATAACTGTGCCCCTCTCTGTCCTGAACCAACCACTGAAGAGCAAGAGTGTTGTGACCTCACCATTAGTGAAAGGAAGTCTGAACGCAAAGTAAGTTATTCATTTATTTATTTATTGATGTATTACATATTTTTTCTTCTCTACAGCTGTGAGTCAGGCTGGTAGATTGACATGTTTTTGTCCCATTTCCTTTCTCCTCTGAGCAGTATCAGCAGTCTGGGCCGGAACATCATCCTGACCACCATGCCCGCCGGCACGAAGCTGATCGCAGGGAACAAGCCGGTCAGCTTTGTCACAGCACAGCAGTTCCAGCAGCTTCAGCAGCAAGGACAGGCCACGCAGGTCAGCCGCTCACATCCCACTTGTTTTAGTTGGAGACACACAGAGCATCGCAAGGCCTAACTATCCGTCTTTCTTCCTTTTTATTAGGTTCGCATCCAGACGGTCCAGGCGCAGCAGCTCCAGCAGCACATGGCGTCAGGCTCCCCGAAATCTGTTTCCACAGTCGTCGTCACAACGGCACCTTCGCCCAAATGTGCCCCCGATCCCCCAACTGCACCTCAACAGTGATCGTCAGTCGGCAGTGAATCGAGGTCCGCTGTACAGTATGTATTCGGTACTTCGTGTTCTCGAGCCTTTTCAGGATATTTTGACTTGTTTCTACTCTCCCACATGTATATGTGACATGTGTTATTACAGCGTGTGACATGAAAATCAATCTTCTCAGTAAGTGCTATGGGCTTGTGTTCAGATTGACAGAAAGATACCGATATCACCAGTATGTGGAAGAGTGTCATTAATCTCTTGAATTATATTCTCCACATTGTTTTATATCTTGTCTATAACAATCTACGGCTCTCCAGGCTGTTTCCATTCTGTTGTTTTTCAGTAATTAACAAACTTTCAAAAGCCCAGTTGCCCTGTTAATATTTCACCTGAATAGTCTCAGCTTATTAATTCATATTAAATCTATACGACTGTCAATAAGATGTTTGCTCTGTCACTTCTTTAAATGTTTGATGTAATGCAATATTAGCAAATGTGAAACAAGTGGACTTAAGTCTGTCTGATTCATTTTAATGTTGTGACTTTCTGATTTTTGTTTTAATACATTATTTGTTCTCTTCTTCGGTGTCATACTTTATTTGATAGCAGGCCATACACTGGAGCCACGCATTTAGGTTTATATTGTGTTTTTGAAATACTTAAACAGACCATAATAACAAATCATATTTAAATCGATTGAAAAAAATCGAAAGTACTTTGTACAAACTGCAGACTTGGTCTTCAAAGAACCATAAACATGCATTCACTCTTCTTCCGACTCTTCGAGCAAAGCCTTCTGGGAGCTTGATTTGGAGGATGTGTTTCTCATTCCAATCTCTATGTCCTGTCCTCTTCCTGAGAATCTCTTCACTGTGCTGTTGGAACAAGACAACAAAGGCTTCAGCTAATGCATGAACAACATAAAGATGACACATCTACAGCAGAGTTTACTGCTGTTGTTGACATGTTCATTTCAAGTGTTCCTGCAAGAAGTCTCTTGCAGGGAAAGACAAATTTCAAACATGTACTCCAAGAAAACTGAAACTAAGTCCTCAGTTTTGACCATGAATGGTGCTGCAGAGCCCTTTTTAATCTTTTGTGTGCATATCATGTTGTACCAGCGTGTGTACAAGCAAGCACAATAATGTACAATACGAGAGTAATGCGATACACATTTCTGCTGGCTGCCGAGGGCGGTAAAAACAATAACGCACCAACGACAAAGAAGAACCTGATGTTCACAGTACAGGTTTCAAAACAAGCAAATATCCGTAAGGCCTAGCAAATATTTGAAGCAAATCATTGGCCGTGTTAAGCCGGCTGCTCACTGTGGTGAGACGTTGAATGTAAACAAAGCCTTGTTGACTATATAAACTGCAGCGTACCTTTTTAAAATACAGGTTCAGAGATCAGAATACAACTCTAAAGGTCCCGCTATTCTCTGTTCAAAGAAAGCTTTTACTAAAAGTCCTAATGCCGTTGAAGAAATCCTCTTCTGTTCCAATTTCTCAATCTTAAATATGTTGATAAACAGTACAAGAATACAGGAAAAGCACCCAGAAGGCCTACACCAGAGGTCCCCCAACTAGATTTATTTATCGATTTGACGTTTGTTCGTTCATGTTTTTACTTTTCAAATACATAAAACTGACAAATAAGTTTCCTTGCACCAGGAAGGAGGTTGATGTAGCACATGTACTCACAAATGATTTTCTTTTTATTAAATCACCAGCAGCAGTCCAGCAAGAGCTTGTCCTTAATGTGACTTCAATGTGCTTTTGCAGCTGGCTGGTGGCTCGGAGGGCGTATTGTAAAGGCAGCGGGTATAGCCCGGTCCATCCTTTGTTAAGGCTGATTGTCTCTGCGTTACCGTGAGACGCACGAGCTTGCTTTGCTGCTGCATTCCAACAATGGCTGGACATGCTGCTGTTTACTTGCACTTGAAACCAATCCAAGCCACAATGTTATTCTGAAAGCTAAAGTGAAACTAGTGAGGTCAACCCTTCTGAACCAAGATATGTTGTGATCACCATCAGTTTCTCTGCACATTAAGTCATAAGAACACAACATACAGAGTAAAGTCTTTGACATTTATTGCTCTGTTATGTAAGTATCGTGAAAGTGGATAAAGTACACCGCATGAATTCACTTGTACTTCATTTAGTTGCTTCCAAATGCTTATTATGATGTTTACTCTGTTCTGCTGAAACCTTTAGCTACGGCACATTCAGTAACTACTGATTTGAGCTATAAAGGGTGAAATACTTACAACCAAACCACCGAGGAGATGCAGACGACTAAGAGCAGGGCCACAGCTAAATGCCAGCAGAAGCACATTGTGACGAACATGATGTTGTTGTGCTGTGTCAGGTCCCATTCCGGTCCACGCGGTGGGTAAAGTACAAATCCAATCTGAAATGATAAACAGTGTGATGAAGGAGACAACTACCTGTGATGTTCAGCAAAATATTCTTGTGAATTTTACTGCTGCTCACAAAAACTGTGTTTGTAAAGGAAATTTTACAAACTGTAAATTGAAAGCTTAAGAAAACAATGTTCATGGGCACGTTCAAACTGTTCCACACAATACGGCATTCTCAGCTCCTCATTATGCTAATCACCTGGTAGAACCAGGAGCCCTGCAGGATGAACAGGCACGCCCTGAACAGCTCCAAAATAATGTTGTCTCTTATGAACACCTCCAGCATGGTGCTGGCCGATCCGCTGAACACGGCAACGAGCAGCAGGGAGTGGATGTGAGCGTCCAGAGGGGGCCGATTGTGCAGGTGGTAGTAGAACAGAAACCCTGGATGATTGTCAAATAGAAAAAAAAGAAAAGCTCAAATACACACCAGGGGAACATAGTTGGGATGTGAAGGAAACATGCTGAACTCAAACTTGACTTGCCTTCAACAAACAGAGCCAAGGAGAGAGCGAGGCGGTCCACACCAGCTGGCACCAGTTTGGATGCAGTACTGGCAACCAGTGCTATTCCAGAGATCCCAAAGAACAGATACATCGTGCCATGCTGCCAGTTCATCAGCTTGACCCATGACTTGTTCTCCGTGTCGTAGAGGTGGGCGTGCGGCCCATCCACCACAAACTGTTCAACCATAATACCTGGAACGGGACAACATCGGGCAAGTGAGATGAGGGAAGAACAGGTTTAGGGAGTTTGCAGTGTGCAGAGGATCGAGAGGAAAAACTGACCAACGAATGAAGCAAAGATTTGAAATCCTCCCTCCGTGTAGTCCAGTCTTCGAAATGAAGGCGACATAATGCGTCGTCCTTTAGGCTGACTTGTCCTCCAGTAGTGTTGCAGAATGTGTTTCACAGTTAGCCAACAGCCTAAGAACAGGAAAAAAGAGCCAGGAATGGCATGTCCTCCAAAGTTTGCCATTGTTCGGCCTGAAAACGTAAGAACAACAACTTAGTAGTAAATACGATGCATTTGATGGAAACACAATGATTACTATGTAGCTCAATGCTCTATTTCCTTTGAACCGAGTCATCGTCAAGGTCAAAGTACGAGCTGGTGGCATTATTTTATGAGCCATGTAATGATTACAAGCAATAAAGTGACATAACGAAGGAACTAAAAACAGCAGCTCACGATGAGATACCTCAAACTCGGGACGGTAGATTGCTTCAACATAAAGGGCTTTTGCAAAATAAACGTGATAGTTTCCGAACCAATTGCTGAATACAGCGTAAAATGATAATATGAGAGTGAGGTGGAGTTAGTTTTGAGCTAAAACATCAGCCTGGTTGAATACTAGTATGTAGTATTGTATTCATGTCACTAAATCCCGAGAAGCAATGTACCATTCAATGGAAACGAGGAACCATGGGTAACTTGGTACTTTAGTATATTATCAGGGTATAGGTTCATAGAATATAGCCTTTGATCCAGACGAGAGCCGCTCATTTGTCTTGCAAAAATGAAATTCAAATCGTACAGAGCTGTTTGGTGAATGAATCGGTTGGCTATCTGTCAAGGTTTTTTTTAAAGCACGAAAGCTATTTGTATCTCATTTTTGTCAATATTGGTCACATTCTACGAAAGTGTTACAGATAAAATGTGAAAAGCTGAGCAATGTGCTTTCGACATAGTGTTGCTACTGACCTATTATTTAAAATGAGACATATTCCTGCAGCATAGTCACTCTTAAGGTGGCACGTTAGGGCTCTGTTCGTGAGTAGATGGGCCTCCTGCGAGAACATTTTTGTTTTCGTTAACTTTCTCGTTCTTTTTGTCGTGCGATGTGTTTGTGTTTCTTACATAAGGCCCATTCAGTCCCATCAGTGGGGTGTGTGTATGGGTGTGTTTCGCATAGTCGTCTGTTAGACAAGTTTTTCTTGAGCAGCCGTTTGACTTCATTGTTTTTGTTAACTTCTTTCTCACCCAATAGATTGAGATAGATTAGACTTTAAAAACAACCTTAACTATAATAACATCTCTACATAGTTTCTGTCGTTAGCTGTCACTGAACAGCCCCTGTACAGATACTGAATGTGAAAATGAGCCTTTTCCTATCACACTTAAAACAGATAATAACAGATTGTACATACCTTATTCTCTGCTGCTAATTCCCAAAGGCTTCAGAAAGGCTTTGCTAATCAGTAAATCCTAGCAGCTGTTAGAGTGGCCGCACTCTGTATAATCTGTGTAAACTCTGCACACCTAATGTCGGCACCTGTATTGACATCATCACATAGCCCCGCCCATTATTTGCATAGGTTTCTGTGACCAAGGGACGTCCTCATGGGAGACAGATGTGACATTCAGACGGAAAACAATACCTGACTTAAAGATCACGTTGTATATTTGGTATAAAAAGAAAAAAAAATCTTCAACACACGTCCATGTCAAGTTATTGAATGTAGAGTATGTTTTTCATGCTGTTAAAATATGATGCAGAGCAAACTGTGTGCAACTTTATTTTGCCTTTTATCTTGAAATGAGTCAGTCTTCAACAGAAAAGGCAAAATGAGAACTCAACCGTTGAGTTAATGTATAAACTCTGTGTGCAGAAGGAGAGGCAGCAGTGCCGGCCCGTCTCAATGAACTTTGCACCCACTTTTGATAAATCTTTATTGTCGTCATTGTCTTGGTCAAATGATCATTCCTCAGGTAAAGTTAGTCACCAAAGAGCTACTGTAATTACAAAAAAATTATTCTATAAAATGAAAGTTTTCTCGTTGTTTGTCATTACAGCTGAAATTAAAATAGCTAAGACATTTATCTTTTTATAGTATTTCACAGAATAATTTCTTCTCTCGAAACGGGTTCTCAGAGGAAAGTACTGGTGTCACCAGGGGGTCCTCTTTGGCATGAGCTTCGCAGTAGGCCATCAGATCAGCTGCTGCTTTGGATATCTGGTGTGTGTGTGTGTGTGTGTGTGTGTGTGTGTGTGTGTGTGTGTGTGTCGAAAATTGGAGGGGAAGAGGATAAAAAAAACATTTTAAATTCTATTATTCCATATTTCATTTTTTTTTAACCATTGATTATACACTAAAAGAAAACATTTTTCCTGCATCAATCAAAACAGTAAAAACTGATGTCAGTTCTGGAAATGGAGCAAATTTTATTTAATCGTTAAAAAAAAAAAAAGGTTGTCTGTTAGAGGTGAACTGCTCTTCGGAAAGTTCAAGATTAGAAATCAATGTTGATTTAAATATACATGACATTAAATCTCTTTTGAGACACAGGAAAGTGAGAAGAGCATTTTCACTGATTCATTATAAAACATGCTGCCATAATCTAAGGCCGTTTCTTAACTTGTCCATCATCATTACTTACATAATGTGCAGACTCACCATCATCCTCTCTATGTTGACCTCCAGTTTCAGTTGTTCTACCGTCTTTCGAGCATCTGCAATCTTGGCCATGTTGTTGGACATCCTGCCCCTTTCCAACTGAAGTCAGTCAGCCTGGAGCAAACCATCAATGTTGACTCATCAGACAAGAAATATTCATATGCATCACCGATAAAAAAGAAAAGTGGAATAAACAAAATACAAACATGAGACACTTCTAAAGTGCAAACACAGTTGATGAAGGTGTGCCATGGTTAGAGTCAGTTTCAATTTGCTTGTTAATTCTGCTCCCTGGGTCTCAGCTGCAAGTGGCACAGGGAGGGTCTCAGAGGAGGAGGGCTTGGGAGGGAGGGGAGGCAGAGCAGCCTCCCCAGGGGAGGGCATCCGCTAGCTGGGCATGTAAATACACGTAAGAGTAAAAACATTAACGTTAACTAGTTGCTCTTTCAGAATAGTTTTATCCTAAACTGCAGGTGTAGAGAGTTGCTGTCAAGGCTATTAGTCTGCTGCTATTATGATGCTCAGGTTCTGCCATACTTACCCAAGAAATCAGCATTAAATTGCTTTAAGATAGCAGTAAATGAAAAAAAAGCATCATTACTCAGCAACAAAAGACTTTTTATTGTGTCTGTGGTGCGTTAAATTAATTAGTCAATTCTATCAATACAAATAGTTTCTACACACTAATACAATTCACACTTCTGAAATATGCTGACAATATCAGCACACACATGTAGAGATATGTGGTCTGATACAAGCTGTTTCCAAGAATCTGTAAAAAAAAAAAAATATAATTTTTTTTCAAGATGTATCCAAACTCATAACAATCACAACGCCACTCACCACAAGACCAACAGCGACCGTTGGGCTCCTGAAAAGAAAAGTCTGCTTGTTTCCAACTGGGTCCACCGCACCAACTTACAGTAACAAATGAAGTGAGATTAATGGCAAAGATGAGGCTTCAATAGGTTCCCTCCTTCAAATAACTAGCTGTGGTTCTGCCCCCAGGATGAGCTCAGTGCAGCAGTTAAAGGCAACATGTGGTGTGACCTTCATCTCTAGAGTCTCTATCACTCGCTCACCTGAGGTGATAGAGGAGCGTGTGCTGCGAGATGGAACATTAAATATTGTTTTTAAAAAGGGATATATGATTTAAATAGCTAATAGTGTATTGAATATAAAGGGATGAAAAAACTGCTTTCTTCATAACACAGTAACATGAAAAAGCATTAGACTCTGATGAGGAAGCTCTCAGGAGAATACATTGTTTTCCATGACTTTAATTTATTTTCCTAGGTGCAATGCACTCTTGGACAAATATCAAATCTGTAATATTTGGATACATGAGTGCATTCATTTTAGATGCACTGACCAGGAACAATCAATAATGAGTAATCAGTATTCATAACAGGTTTATTATGTGACAGTGTTGAATGTTGGAATTCAAAAATGACAGTCCTCCAAAAGTCATCAACATACATTTGTGTTTCATGTGCTTTTACAGTGTAACACATTATCTTGCCTTCAGCAAACATGTTCTTTTTGTATTATATGACTTTAGCTGTAGAATATAACCAGATTTGACCTGTTAGGGATTCTCTGACAAAGTAACCTGGAGCATTGTGCAGATTTACGGTATAACAGCAGTAAGGAATGATTCAAGTAATAATGTCTTTGAAGAGGCTCAATTGAATAGCCTAATGCTTTCTTACAACAAATAGGCTACACAAGAGCACTGGATAACATGCAGTATATCCTACGCTAAGTTTGCAAGGTGAGTGATTGAGTCTTTGTCAAGGTGTGAGTTTTTCCCGACAGCAGGATTATTGGTCTCATGCCTATCCTCTACCATGCTGCCAGTCCTTCCTGTAGAGCTGACAGTTATTCCACACAGCAGCAGGGGGGCGAAGAGGCAGTGCTATGGAGTTAAATGTCAAGTGCCTCATTAACATTTGTTTCCCTGTAATTGGTCTCTTTCTGTGGAAGATACTGGACCTCATGAGTAGAAGGTGCTCTGTCCTCTTTCACCAAGGGCCCAAAAACACAATTTGCCCAGTGTGTTGTGTTATAAACCAAGCGGGGATGTTCAGATTCTGCGGTCCTACTTAGTTAGAACTTAATATTGTTATATATATATATATATTGACAAGCACAAACTCTAAAGCCAGTCAGCCAGCCAGCATGTCTCCTCTCTCGTATGATTCATTTATGACAGACGCCACATCATAGGATCCATGAAACCTGAGAGGAGGGCGAAGTGTCTGCATATCCCATCAAGTACACATGTTTATTTAGTGTTAGCATTTAAAGACATCTGTCTTCAGCCATACTTTATTTCCTTATAAGCAAATCTACACAATACCAAAGAAATACTCGGGTATATCAGTTTAAAAATAGAAATGATCTATTCTGGTATAATTACAGGGAAAAGCAAATACTTCCCTGTTGTTCAGACCATTGACTATTGGCCAATTTACCAGGTAAAGCTTCAATGTGGGACTGCAAATGAGAAAAGAACAGGCAACTCTACAGCAGTTGTTCATAAAAGGGAGACCCAGCATGCAGGAAGTGGCACATATATTGGAATATGTTTATTTAAAGATGATACCCTGGTTGTTTTCTTTCCGCATCATATGAGCTGTAAACCAGTTTTTCTAGTCTGTTGCTCCTGCTGCTCAAAGTGTGACAGCCTCGTCTGTATTATATGACAAAGCCCACAGAACAGCATTTACAGGTGGTTACTGGAAATATTAAGCTTCTGGTTGTTTTTTTTTGGATTCTTTTTTTTTTTAAATCTTGCATTGAAAAGTCAAGATATGAGTCATAACTGGCAAAGTATGAACACTTACTGGTTCCAGGTTTTCACTACAGTGGCATCATATAACCCTCTACATGTTTAGGCTCAAAGATAAATGGTTTTCTGCACGTATTATGATTACTCTTGTTATTCTACAGCAACACGAAAGGGGGCATCTTTGTATGAAACTCTGGAACAAGTGATTTAGCTGAGAGAAAAAGCTCCCTTTCCCTCATTACGCTCCTGTGGTGGGCGTGTACGAACACTTCCAGAGCCACAACGATAAATAACGTTACAGTAAGCTACATTTCCTCGCATGGCCGCTTTCTTGGGTAGCACACACTCCGTAGAGACCAACGCGGACTCAAAACCGCTTTGTTTCGACTCCTTCCAGAGAGTAGCATTTGAGCTAACGTTAGAAAGGAAAAAAAAAAACCGTGGAAGCCTCAACAGAGCCCCGTAAACGTAACATGCATTGATGTTGACGTCCATCATTTGATGCATGTCGTGTGCGGATCTCGCCACTGTCGTGTTTATTGCCGGGCTTCCATCCGCCGAGATGTATGGGATGTCGGGATGACAGGAAGATGGCAAACGGGGTTGGAAGTGAGTAACGTCGGCTCATAGAAAATGTCAATGCATGCTATCCGTTAGCGGAGAGTGTGTGTCCGTGCTGTTGATGTTATCACCGCGAACTTCCTTGCACGGCACCCTCCGCTCCTGCAGCCTGCAAGGTTTAACCGCTGGCATTAGACAGCTGACAGCTCTGTGGACACTGATGCTGGCTCCTGTTACAATCACAAGTATTATCGATGTGCTTTTTTTTTTTTTTTTTTTTTTTTTTGCACGCTGATTCCAAAGCAGTCGCGTGCGGACTGCATGGTGGGGCAGGTTTTAGGTAGCATAGAAATGAAGCCCAGCTTCAAGAGATTAATTGTAGTGCCCATACCAGGCCTGAGAACTACAGCAGGAACGCAGTTAATAAACATGAACCATATAAAGCACGTATCGTGTTTGTGTCCATTTTTCCTCCACATCTGCAGAACACAAGCTACTTGTCATCGGACCAACAGAGCCATGGTCGGTGAGGGAGAAGCTGTGTTTGGCCACATCTGTCATGAAGAGTGGAGACCAGAACTGGTATACTGTACTGCTGCTCTATTATGGCCCCTTTAGGCTAAAACCAGTGCCAATGCTTCTTTGTTGTGTGTCAGTGGTCTATGATATAACCATGCATAGACACTTTTCATTTGACCTTTTAAGGTTATGTATTGTCAATATGGGGGGCCCCTCAGGTGTGCTTGAAGTTATGGTTGCTGTTGTTTTCTCTCACAGTCCAAAGTGATGCAAATGAGATGAACTAACCTTGTCTTTAGCTGCCATACTGTCCATGGTGTTGCGCAGTCCATGCTGGCCTTGATTTAGCATACATTTTGCATGAATTTACAACTGAAATACTTCCAAAAAATAGTAATAATAAACAAATGGACAAAATAGATGTATAAGAATTAATACTTGGAAGAAGAAAATAAAAATGTTTTAAGACTACAATAAAACAAGATAGAAATAGTAGCCTGTTTTGGACTTGAATGTGTATTTCATATCATCTTACAACATTTCTTCATCTCAACAGGGTGTCTGTCAGTCGAGCCATCAAACCATTTGCAGAACCCGGCCGACCACCTGACTGGTTCTCTCAAAAGGTGTGACAAAAATCCGAGCTCGCTCTCCCGCAATGACCAAATTCGTGACCTCTGCAGTACTTTTGCCACATTTTATTTTGTCCCGTCACAAAGCTGTTCTTTCTTCTTCTTTGGCTCTTCGCAGCACTGTGCCTCCAAGTACTCTGAGCTCCTGGAAACAACAGAGGCCCCAAAGTGAGTGCCTAAGTGACTTTTACCTCGAGCCTGCTTTTGTAGACTCGCAAGCTCAAATAGATTACGTAGCTTTGTACTGTTCGACACGTGCATTGACAGTCTATGCCATGTCTTGAACTAACAGTGCATTTGTTGCCTTCAGGCGGAAGCGCGGCGAGAGAGGTGAAGTGGTGGAGACAGTGGAGGATGTGATAGTCCGTAGGCTGACAGCCGACAGGATTGATGCACTAAAAAAGCTGATCAAAGAAACACAGGAGAAGCACAGGTATACAAGTTTAACTTTTAACAGCAAGAAGACATCACTGTCGTCGTGCAAACATCTCAGGAGTTAAGATCAATGAGATTGGTTGATGCTGTTTTCGTAGGAAGCTGAAGAGAGAAGCTGAACTGATTCAAGCAGGACGTCTAGATTCCAAACTAGAAGAGTTATGGGCAGACATTCTGCAGTAAGAAGCAACACGCTTTCTATCTGTCCTGTTTCAACAATCACACAGTACATCTCTTTTCATGTTTGTAAAGCTTGGACATTAGACTCTTGCCTACTAACAAGCAAAATACATATGTGTGTATCTTATGTGTCAGGAAGAAGAAACTGGAGCAGAAGGAAGCAGAGTTGAAAAGAAAAAACACAAATGCTGCTTATCAGGGTATCTCCTTCACTTTTAGTGGGTATTTATTTTTTGGGGGGAGACACACGACATCAATGTAGAATTATATTTTGTAATGTTAATGATTCTCCATAGATATTAAGTAAAATTGTGCAGTTGAAACAGCCTCAGGTTTTTTTTAATTCACCATGGCCATTAGAGCCATGCTGCTAGCATGCAGAAGAAGGATAGCCATGGCACATTTTTCTTGTGTGGGGGGGGGCAAAAAATGAAATTGAACATCTGCTTTTGTGTGACTGATGAAGTAATCCTCTCTATGCTGCCCCTCCCTCTTCCAGCCAGACAGGTAGCAAAGAACACATCTAAGCGAGAGCCCGGCGTCACCACACAATCGCCCGCAGGCTGCAGCTCCCCGAGCCAGGAGTTCTCACCGGGTGACCCACTCGAGTGTTTGACGCTGGATCTTGCGTTGACAAAGAATGTAAGTCACCGTAGGTTCAAAAGCATTCAAGCTTTGCCCTGCTTTTCAATTATCATATTTGTGCGTGAGACATTTAGAAACGTTTGCCGGTATTGTTTAAGGTGTAACGCTAATGTGTAATGCTAAACGTACAGTTAATTTAAAGCTCAATTAAAGAAATGGTTAGTTAGTACCCAGCTCTGCACCTCTGTCCGTGTTGAACTTTCCCTCGACCTGTCTGTTGTCTGTCTGTCTTGAATTTGCCGGTCGACCCTCATCGACCTGCATGCATCTCTTTTATTGTTGTTTAGCTGTGTCTGACTGATTTATGTATTTCACATACTCTGCATGCTTTTATGTTTTTGTGTTTTTTAGTGTCTAACAATTGCAGCATAATATTGTCTTTAGTCCATGTTCCTATTTTAACATAGTTATCCCTCATTGTATTTGCTTTGTGCATGTTGACTTTGAGGGCCTCTGTGTTGCATGTCTTGTTAGTACTTGACAATGTATAAGAGTCTCCTGAATGATGACACTACATATATTAATATTCTCACTTTTTTCATTGTTTGTGCACGCATTGTAAAGCGTCAATATTGTATAACCTTTCAAATGTAATCTTACATTCTGTTTTTAGGTTTATTTTGTAACATCTGCCTCTTGGGTCTACAGATGAAAAATAGCCTTTTGGCTAACTCTGGCGCATTTACAGAAATGTTGTTATTAATGTGCACTGTCCCTCATCAAATATACCAATAAATAAATAAAAAATATTAATTTCTTAATCTGTATTTCTCTCAAGAATGCTGAAAACGAATCAGTTTGTGCTGGTTAAAGACATAATAAATATTATACATATAATATGCTGCATATTTTTAACTGAAGTAACTTGCCATCACTGCTATAAGGTATAGAAACAGTTAAAATATGACTTTATAATAATAACAGAATAGAATTATATATCACAAAAGAGTGTAATATTTTTGACCATTCCCACACTCAATCCGAGTTGATCAATGAAAGCATGCTTCGATTGGTATGGAAATGTGACGTCACGTTTGTATCTCTCTGTCTCCAGACTTCAGGATCAGCCAGATTAATGACAATTGCTGAGTCTTCTGGACCAGGAAGTGATGACATCAGCCCCGGGTCACTTCTGGACGATCCCACCCAAAAGAAGCTCCTCCTGGGCCTGAAAGCCACACCCCCACCATCTCCACTCCTGTCAGAGTTACTGAAGAAAGGCAGTATCTTGGCCACAAATTCCAGACTGGTATGTGGAGGGGACTTACTGTGTTATGCCAACAGTGCCAAGCTCTCTAATTAACATGTTCAAGTCTGCAGGGCACCCCATCTTCATCTCATTCTTTGTAGAGTTACTCTGCGTTTGGGAACGATTTAATCATTTTGCTTTTCTTTTTTTTCCCCCGTGGTTTTGGAAGTTGTGGTTTGTTTTGCCAGTTGCATAACGCCTTTAGTCATTTTTTTTGCAAATGTATTGCATTGTAATGTGTTATTTTTTTTAAACACAGAGTCTGTTTTCACCTCAGGACATCTCAGTGTCCGTAGATTGGTAAAGTTGGATGGGGTGCTTATGCGAACAACTGTCTTCAGTTAATTCCACTCCTTTTTGAACGATGTTCAGGTGTTGTCATTGGCTACACGAGGTCATTTGTAGTCCTGTTTAAGACCATTGCTGTGTGCTGAATATGTTTTTTGTCCTGTTATTACTTCTATCTGAAGCATTAACAAGTTTACTGTTTTTGGAAACAACTTTTACTGTTTTTGGAAAACAGTTCCTTCTATCCTTAAAGGTCTCAGAGGCTGTGCAACTGAAACAGTACATTTAGTCAGGAAATCATTTTGTTTTGCTTTCTTGAAATGATTTGACTTGAAAAAAAATAAAATGTGTGTATCATTTGAGAGTTAACACATCACTAAATATATTTTGCATTTGTTTTTTAATGCTCTAACTGTGTTGGTTTGTGTCATGTCTCTCTGCACTGTAGCTGAAGAGTTCAACGGTTGGTTTTAATGCACCACTGAATGTTTTGCCTCTTACTCTCAGGCGCCTTTTTGCAAACATGCAAACCTGCTTTTGCTTCCAGTTTGCTGTTATTTACTTTTTTTTTTACCTCCAAGCTTTTTGTCAGATGTCATCAGTGAGTTCCGCGTGGCATGACTTCGCACTGCAGCCAAGGAGCTGTCGTTCAGCCAGTCCCTGCCGAGGTTCTTCTGGAATGGTTGCTGGACAGTTACCTCCTGGAATTGTCCAGCTGTTTTTTTTTTCTTATTTCCATTTTTTATGAAGCCAAGTGTGCTCATGTGAAATCCCATTGTGTCAGCATAAGTTGATCCTTTAGTAGCTCTTTGCCTCCTCACATTCCTCTGGTAACATTGCTGCTCTGACATGCAGTGCTGCCTTTAGGGCTCTTTGTATAAATATTTGCACAGGGATTCCAATCAAATTCTAGAAATATCAAGACATTCAGCTATAAATTTGTATTATTTCTAAAAAAATATGTAGTATACTTGATGTGCACTTTATGTACAAGAGAACTGGTAAAATGTTTGACATGCATGTATGCGTTTACATCCCAGATTGGGGAGGGGGACGTGACCACTGCTAATATGACAGGAGTACATGACTTGCAGCTGGCTCCACCTAGCCAACCTCTCACTCAGGCAACAGGTACAGATGCAGTGTTTGATTTGTGTTCATGATGTTCTTTACACTGATTTTATGTCAAAGTTAAAGAAAAGAACATCTCACAAAATATTTGATTGAAATAAGATTTCATCTAAATCAAGATGGTATTTAGTAGAATCCCCTTTGGCACAAAAGAACTATGTAGGAAGCTGTTTTATATTTGTTAGCTTTTCTCCTTGACTCCTAAATGGATGTGTGCTTTCTATATAAAAGTGCTACTGTCGTCTAAGCTGTTTGCTCATACATTGGCTAACTGAAAGCCTCCGCTCCTTTGTCTGCACTTCTGCACTTTGTGTGTTCATGTTTATGAAAGCTTGCATGGCAGGTGCCCCGATGTTGTCGCGTCTCCTGGAGGCAGGTCCCACCCAGTTTTCTGCCCCGTTAGGTTTCATGGTCAGTGCAGACTCAGCCTCCAGTGCTCCTCTCTCTGCTGCCACTCCTGTGTCTGTTGACTCTACTGCCTCAGCAAATACAGGTCTGTCTGCTTTGACCCAGACCACTCAGAGCTCAATCCACACGCTAAAACCTCCTTGCATCCTTGATGTCATATTCTTTGTAGCTTGAGAATAATTTAATGTTAGACCTAAGATTGTTAACTGTAGTCATTCAATTGCAAAAGTAGACTTAAGGGTTCATTTATTGTGCAATGTCAGAGCAAAACTGAGATATCACAAGTCTCATTGTATTATCATGTGTCATGTACACAATTGTATACATTGGAGGAAAAACATACTTGTGATACAAAAAACGTCAACTATACTCAGACCTTTTGTATCTTATGTATACACTACTTAATGTATTGTTAATATCTAAAGGTATCTCAATTTCTTGGTCAAGGTTAACAAAGATAAAAGTAAACAAGAGATTCATTGTGGTTCATATTTAAATACAAGCAAATGATAAAGCTTGAGCTAGGTATTCTGTGAAGTAGAAATAGAAAAATCTGTGTTTTTACAAACTGCTCCTGCTAATTTAAAATTGTAGTTGAAAATCGGTTGTTGTTTGTGTGCAGAGGTGGATGTGATGGTGCCGTCTTTGCCCCCCGGATGCCAGCCTATCTCTGCAGGGGATAAGGTGGCTGAGCTCAGTGAGGAGGATGTGACTGTGTCCTACATGGTGGGTGAGCTGGACCTGAAGACAGTGGGGGACATTATCGCCATCATTGAGGACAAGGTGAAAAGTCCCACACATTTTCACGGCATTGTTTGTGATAAATAATGCCTGCTTGAGGTTTTAAACGTTATTTTACAATGTGGTTTTTTTCTTTACATTTTGGTCATCAATCTAGTGAGTTATGACAATAGTTAACTCACCAACATCACTTCTGAGATTTGGCAGACAGGACGTGGCAAACTATGAAAAAATGAGTTCAATAGCTCAATTCTTCTTTAAGATCAAGAGTCATATCTCTTCTTCTGCAGACAGATGTGACTGCAGAGGCTTTGGATGCAGCTGCAGTTGAGGCTGCGCTGTCACTGTGTGAGGAGAACGGCCATGCTTTGTCTGGTGCCTGGGAGCCTGGGCCTCTCCAGCCCCATGAGTCTCATCCCGCAGTGCCCACAGGGGTCCAACAGTCCTTGTCTCTTCACAGTAGCCCGGAGAGGAAGACAGAAGTGTTAGAAGTTCAGGGTGGGACTTCAGCTTCACTCTCCTCTCTGTGCAACAGTCAAGATTGCGGTTTGGCAGCATTCCCCAAGGGACTAAGGGGCCTTCCTCACACCTCCTCATCCTCACGCAGCTCAAAGAGTTTGGAGCACTGCCACACTGGAGCACCTCCACACCCTGAGGCAATGAGAGAGACTGGAGTGTTGGCGCACCAGAAAAGCCAAATTTCATTGGATGTTACTCTAAAATGTGAAAGTGAGAAGTGGGCACAGCAAAGACCTGAAAAACCCCATGGAGGTATGCACACCTATATGCATCAATACTAGTATTCACTTGGTTCAGAACATGCAGTTGGCATGCAACTATGCATTTTGCATAACCATTTCCTTCTTATTATTCATCTTTACTATCTTTATTATCTTGGCAGACTCAGTATTAGAAGAGAGCCCACTGACAGAAAGGCCCCCCAAGGTATATCACCCAACGAGGACAAAGGGAACATGTTGCTTGTAATGAAATGCAGAGTGCGTAGTTCCACAGTATTCCTGCACTGTAAGCTCTGTTTCAATATCGGCATCTTTCTCCGTCTTTGCAGGGGATGAAAGCGGAGGATGGAATAAGTGTTGGGGGAGGAGAGAATGCCTCAGGAAATAAAGTGTACCGGCAGCTCAATGGGCCAGAAGTGTGTGGAGACGAAGAGGCCGATGGGGTGGAGGGATTCTTGTCGGAGCCAGACGGCGAGATGGAGCTAGAGCCTGCAGCCAGCGAGAGTGAGGACGGTTACAGCCTCCACACGGCCTCCTCGTCACTACAGCTCCACACGACCGCAGACTCCATCCCCAGCAGCCCCTCCTCGTCACTGTTGTGAGTGAAACGCAAACTTGCACACTCAGGCAATTTCTTGCTGCGTCATGCTGCAGATCAGGTTCTGCTTGATAATGATGACCTATCTGTTTGTGTACCTTCCACACACACCGTTGTTGTGCAGTTCTGTGTGCAGTGAGGACCATGAAGCTCTACAGGCTCACAAGATCTGGAAGAAAGCCATTATGCTGGTGTGGCGTGCAGCGGCCAATCACAGGTCAGATTATGACTCTCAACAGTAACGCTAGCCCCTGATGATCAGCCTCTCAAATATGGAATATGTTGTATCATTTCTGAAACAGATGTGATTTATGTAAATCTGTTGTAGGTATGCAAATGTCTTCCTGCAGCCAGTAACTGATGAAATTGCACCTGGGTACCACAGTATTGTGCAGAGGTAAGCACAGGACATGTCTGCTCTGGTCATATTTTAAGCCTATTTTCAATTCACTTATAGATGTTATTGTGGTTACTTCTCATATTGCTCGTGCAGAGTGAAAAATCTTACATCACACAATAGTAAACTGTTCAGGCACTAAGAAAAACAACCTTTGCTGGATGGCATTGGATTGTTGACATTGAACGCCACTCTAACCCCCTCTTTGCTCTTCACTTCTATAGGCCCATGGACCTTGCCGCCATAAAAAAGAGCATTGAGACCGGTTTGATACGGAACACCGCTGAGTTCCAGAGGGACATCATGCTGATGTTTCAGAATGCGGTCATGTACAACAGCCTGGATCATGACGTGTACCACATGGCTCTGGAGATGCAGCGTGATGTCCTGGAGCAGATCCAGCAGTTTCTGGCTACCCAGCTCATCATGGAGACCTCAGAGTCTGGTATCAGCGCCAAAAGCCTGAGGGGCCGTGAGAGCACACGCAAACAGGACTCTACTGACAAGGTGCTTCACTAGAATTTTGACAAAAGCAGAGAGTACAGAAGAAGAGACAAGGGTGAGACAACAGGCTGAGTAGATGTGCCTGGCATTTTCCAAAGCATGATAATAGTTTTTAGAGTGATATCCTTCCAGGTAGCCATTGGTTTCAAATGCTATCACAATCAACTTACAGAGACTTCGTATGTTTTTGTCAAAAAGTCCACTTTTGTTTTGTTTCATGCTAAAAATCAACCAATGTCACAAGTTGTTTATTGTTCATCTTATGGCTCTGACTTCTCAGACGTCAGTTAACGAATGCAACACCTTATCTTTGAATGCGTTACATCATTGCTATCGCTATAAAAAGACAATACGTTGCTCACTGTGGGGATTACTCTATGAATCTCAAACAAGTTTCAAACCAATGGTTGACTGGAAAGCAATACATTTGTTTTAGAACATAACATCTATGCTTTGGAAAATGGTAGGCAATAATGTAATAATGCAATAATGTAAAGACTATTACTGACAACTATTTACCAAAGCATACAGTAGGTTTTATTCATTGATATTCCACCTTCAAGAAAGCTATTGTTTACCATTAATTACACGACGGTATGAACATGAACTGGCGGATAATTGACCCGATGAATCACAATTCATATTTAGTCCTTTATTTGCATTATTGATGTTGATGAGAATGTGACTGAGAGAAGAACTGCTGATGTTTACGTTGGAGATTTGTACATGATTACAGAAACAAAGCATTTTCAAAACAACTACATTGCAGCTACGTTACCATGCCCAAATAACGTAGCTTTGACAAAACAACATTTTTAGTGTTTTCAACCTGTGCCGGAAAAACGTGTTGGTGAAATAAAGAAGATTTTCCAGTTAGTCAGAGTTAGAGTTCTTTTTCACATTCCTTCCATTGTGACCTAAGCATCTAGTTGGCTGTTGAAGAAGCTGCAGGAGAATCATACTTTCATGACAAATGACCTGAGTTGTAAGTGCTGAATGTTGATGTTTTATAGCGTTCTGATGTGAACTAGAACCAGAAGTTGGCTGGAAGGTAGGAGATGATTGTAAAACATCATGCTGTGCTTTGAAAAATGGTTGACAAGTATACACTGTATGTATGTGTTGTATTTAGCTAATGAGCTTGACATGCTGGCATGTACTTTTTAAATATATCTGATGTGGATAAGTAGTGCAATTGCAGTGCAGCGAGGAAATAAATAGTAAACATTTGAAATGGCCACATGATGATATACCTCTATATAGTTATATATTCTGTTAAAGCTTATTTCAACCTTTCCTTCTGCTGAATATATCCTGTTCTGTATATTTGTTGCCATTATTTTGCTTCCTCTTGAGGCTTTCAATGCACTTTTGTGTCCCAGCGCTGATATGCATCATTTTCCTCTTACAGGACACTGTCTCCATGTCCTCTCCTGCCTTCCTTCTTTCTCTGTTTGTAAGTACCCATCCTACAGTCTATAAACTGTCCCTTACTTTCTTGTCTTTTTTTTCCTGAAGCAGACAAGAAAAACTAGCTGTTGTATAATCATAACAAAGGAATAACTCATTCATATAGAGCTCAGCAAACATGGTATTTGGCTGACATTTGTGACTCAAACATCTTGAAGATCAACTTGTTTGAACAGTGAAACACTGGTGTGGCTTCTGTCGCACATGAGTGAAGGCACGCGGTCTAATAGTTGTTTTTCTTCCTCTCTTTGACTGCAGGATGGAGGCACCAGGGGGCGCCGTTGTGCCATAGAAGCTGACATCAAGATGAAGAAATGAACATCCAGTATGACAATTTTATCCAATAGTGTTCCAGGGTTGAATTGAAAGACGTGAAACCACAAGGCTGAATTTATCCTGTCAGTTGCACAGATTCCCACTCTGCATAGAAATGCAGCGTAACCTTTATTTGCACTCCAGGTGAAATGGATAGACTGTAATATGGAGAAGCTCATTTCCTCTGAGACAGCCATACAGACATGGATTATAAACGGTATAATCCCAGATTACAATGGGGCAGGTCAAACCTTTCATAGACGTAGCTGCAGATCACTTAGAATTAGCCTGCTCTGAATTACATCAGGTTGTATTGTAAATGAAGATAAAAGTTACTCCTAGCCTACAGACCTGGTTTTACTTCAGATTAGTGTGGTTGGTTTTAAACATACCATGTTGGTGATACAATGTAAACCCAGAGGCCAAAGAGTCTCACTTAGCTAGGGGGTGAGGGGCACATGCTAATTTCAAATCATTTGAATTTCTTTTTAGTTTACTTATTTAAAAAAACTCTGATAATTTTTAAATATGGCTGTATTTTTTTTGTGATGAATTGATTTTATTAAGAGTGCACTTCCAGTGAAACAGTATCAACATGCATATTCTGTGTCATTTTCAATATTTTTGAGAAAACGTCCCGTTATCAAAATGTTTTGTGGACTTTAAAATAAACAATAAAACTTCATAAAATACCCTCATTCCACTATGTTAAGCTTGAATTGGCATTAACGTTTTCCACGATTCCAACACACAACACGCCACAGCAGCGACACAGCATTACAGTTTGCTGAAGCCTTGCTGTTTAAGAGCCGTCCAATCGAAATTAGTGACTTCCAGTGGGAAAATATAAATCGTTAGCATTTGATATCCTTCTTTTTTTTTTGTATTTAAAAGTCTGCCTTGCCTAATTCATGACATTGATGTTTAGTGCGCTGTGTGTCAGTAGGGAACAGCATGCAGACTTTATAAGGATCAGCTCAAGCAGCAGTGGCCACATGGCAAAAAGCAGCAAAGAGTAGCATTCCATTATAAATAAGTTACACAGTGTTGTGTTTCCAAGAACCTGTTCCGTAGCAATGTCATTAGTTCAGTGTTATGTAAATTGGCCGAAATCAATCCAATGTATTTAAAGCTTTTATCGAGTCAAAGCCAACTCATGTACAAGATGCCATACTGTTGCTGTTGTCTACTTGCTCATTTGTGTTGAGCATGCAAATACATCGTGTTCATGTTTTCACTATGACCATGTCCACTGACTTATGTAAACAAAGGCTTTTCCATGTCTGTTAAATCCAGACATCTGTAACCGGCTTCAACGGATATTAGTTTCACAGCTCGTATTTAGAGTCAAACAGAAAGAAAGTGTGATACGATCTCAAGTTGTACATGCGGCAAGTCAAACCTCATGTTCCGAGAAAGTAATTGGACAGATGAAGGTGCAAATGTACAGAAACATTAAAGCCTTTTGGCCACTTGTTGTGATGTTTTTCCCCACAGACAGCAGTGAGAGGTTCAGACACAGTAGATGTGTTTGTTTCAGCTTCTTTGCGATTTATATTTTACATAATTTTTACCTTTTCAAATATAAATATTTGCCGTCATTCTCAGTCTCGCTGCCCGATCACCTTGAAATAAAGAGACTGATTGTTATACCGTCAGTAGGATAATGTGTAGTCTTCTAATGATGTGACCAAACAAACGAAGCACTCAAGAGTCAAACCACCACCAAATCATAAATGAACAAATCAGACGGGCCAAGACATACTCTGATTACATCTTTTATTTTCAGGTATATTTGGCTGAAAACTGAATTCTGCAGCGTTGCTCAGATGTACTACGACCCCCTGATTTGTGCGTATCACAGTCAAGGTTTTTACATGTTTTGAGTTACAGTGTGGACCTGAATATTCTAGTCAATTAACATTTACTGTGTCAGTAGTCACGAAGATGTGGTTGCTGAAAAATAAATACGTAACTAATAACACACACTCTCTCTCTCTCTCGCTCACTGGGATGCATGCAACAGCAACAATAGGAACAGGATTGAACTTTAACTTAAAAGTGCTCGAGAAGAACCTGAATATCGTACGAGAACAGCTGAGGCAGTCTTGGCGCACAGAAACAAGTACCAGTGTCTGTTTAGGGTTTGAATCATCTGTGGTTAAAGAGTTAAAGTTAACACCTCCACAAGGTTAGCGTCCGATTAAAAGTGATCATTCTGTTGGAGATGAGAACAAAAATTATTATTCTTTATAAAACATCAGTATGAATGAAAACAGGTACAGAATTTATACAACATTTATAACACATGGGCCAAATAGGACTGTGAATGGGCTCTTCGCTTTTGACAAATTAAAAGCGACTTCTTCGAAAACTTTCTGCAACACACAACAGTCATTTCTCACTGCTAAACCTCAAACACATGCCTGCAGCTGTACCGAACGACTTCCTGAGTGGAAGCTTAATTAATGACCGCGTAATAAACCCCTCTGCCAGCAGCAGGATCAGCAGGAAGCTCTGCAGTAGGAGGCCGCTCATTTTTTTGGCAAGTGCAACCTTTTTACAAACACGCAATCAGAAAAATGTTGTCAAGATTTGTTGAATTGAACCGTCATGTGCCTCCTATTGCTGTAGTCCCAGAGGACAAATTGCCTGATCAACCACAGTAAATCTGATTAGTCAATGTTGTAATAATAAATAAAAAGGTCCTCTGTTATTTCACAGTACAGAAGCTCTCAGAAGATTTGTCCAAAGACTACAGGACTATATTAGTCACTGTATTTTATTACTTCCTACAGGGGAAAAAAAAAAGAAAAAAAGATGAGCCAAGATGCTCGGGCAACAATCACTCCATTGATTATTAAATAACACCTAAAATGTCAGCAAGGACACAAAAACATGAAAGAAAATAAATAGAGGTAAGCTACAAAACCTAAACGAATAGAACGTGTATGAGTGAACATACTACTGCCTTCATAACCCCAAAGGGAGACCCCTTATGTCATGCCATTTCTATAAGAAAGTTTAAAGGCTCCGAGACATCATACACACTGCCACAGAGAGTCTGCACTTCATGCTGCTGCCACCACAGCCAGGGTGGGCAGCTAACAATGCTAACTCTTATTTCCTACCATCGAAGAGGAGAGAAGGCACATTGTTTCCAGTGGCATAATCTCCCACCGACTGCGCTGTACCTAAAAGATTTCTTTACAAAGTGGCCGGATTGGATAAATTCACACACTTTTAATAAAATGCATTATTGTAAAGTCTGTAAAGAAACGTGTTCTCCTCTCAAGCGGTCCTCATTTGCCTCTCTGACGCCCAACCAATCGGTGCAGTTTGTCACAGTTGTCCAGCCTCATTGACTCGGCCTTCTGCTTCAGCCGCTCGTCTCGGTACAGCTGTCCGAGGTTCGCCAAGTCCGACTCTGCAGAGGAGAACAGAGCGCCAAAAGAAAGACGCATCACAGTGGTTTGTAACAGCTGTTTGCACTTAAAAGAATAGTGCGACTTTTGGGAAATATACATATCAGCTTTCTGGCAGAGAGTTGGATGAAATGAACAATATCACTCTCGTGTCTGTATGGTAAATATGAAGCTACAGCCAGCAGCCAGGTAGCTTAGCTTAGCTTAGCATAAAGACTGGAAGCGGATAGGGGAAAACAAACAAACAAAAAAAAAAAAAACTAGCCCGGACCCACAAAATTTTTTAAAATCAGTAGAAAAACATAATTTTGCGATTCTATGCGGGGATGTGTGCCGGAGTATGTCTTAGGTAGGACTAGTTGCCAGGCAACCAGCGGAGACTCAAAGTTACTGCTCCCAGCTGCTGACCGTAGCCTCACATCTAAAGTACAGATATGAGAGTAGCAGCAATGTTATCACACAATATCCAGCCAGAAAGCAATTAAGGATATTTCCCAAATTACTGCACCTTTCCTAGGATGCAATGAGATTTTAAGGCTCTGGCTAGAAAATGATAAAAAAGATTTAATATAAATGAAGATTTTAGCTTTATCGAAATCAGTGATACCTGCAAAAACAAAAACCTCCCCGTTTAAGCCCAATGAGCTGCACGCTTACTTTGCTGTTTCTCCTTCCAGCAGCTGTTCTGCAGGTGTTCGATATAGTCGCTCTCAATAGTTTTCTCTAGTTCATCCAGCGCAGCTCCGCGGTATTCCTTCTCAAAACTTTTATCCACATAGTACGGTACACCCATGTGCTGCGTTTCCCTGGACACCACCAGCCCCATGGCCCTGAAAACCCCCCAAAAAACATGATTACAATGTATTCAGGGAAATGCTGCCGTCTTGTTGTGAGGCGCCACAGACTCACGGCTTATAGAAGAGACTGTAGGGCGGGTTAGTGGCCATCATCTGAGTAAACACTGATATGAGGATAAGCACCAGCACAGGGAGAAGCTGCAGCAGCGCTGTGAAGGTGTTCTGTGGGAAGATAAAAAATAAATCAGCACAGATTACAACGCATATGATCCTGGCGTGTAGGCTGCACTGATTCACGCCACAACAGCACAGTGTGTCTTTGGAGCAAGTAAGGCAGTTATGAGGGAAGTAAATGAATGACATGAAAATGAATCAGTATGGAGAAACGGTCACTAGGAAGTCGCAGCCATGTTATAAATGCATCCCCAAAAAGCTGCATTTCTCCAGTGCCTGTTAATGATTAGACCATAGCCATAGAAGACAGCAACATAATACTGTAATTGCTAAACGGGGATTTGTCTTCATGTTTTTGTGAGTCACTGACCTGACTCTGGTTCTCCTCCACCACCTCCTCGCGCCTCTCAAAAGCGCGTCGACGACGAGGCTGATAGAACTGAGAGTAGGAGGCTCCCTGGTTGGTGTACACGTGGATGTTTCCTGCAGAGAGACACGCGCGCTTCTTTAGCCGCTACACGTCCACAATAAACACAGTGGATCATAATCCTGAACTGTAACACCCACCTGTTGGAAATCTTCCTCCGAAGAAGATATTGAAGAGCTCCTCGGGGGAAATGTCGGCCTCGAAGTCCCTGTTGAAGCTTCGGTAGTATCCTTGGCGGGTGTGGCTGGACTGTTGGGGTGCGTTCGCAGCTGCCGATTGATCTCCGTATTGATCGTACTGCTGCCTCTTCTCCGGATTGCTCAGCACTGCGTATGCGTTGCCTATTGCTGTTGGGAGAGGAGGGAAACATTCGGTCGTGGCATTTAAATAAGTCGGCAGAACATACGCCTTAAAATAAAGTACAGGTAGATAATCATGGCCTAAGTTTTGGAGGAATTGAGCCCTGTTTATTTTTTTGTCTATATTTGTTTATATTTTGGCAAACTTATGCACTTATGCTAAATTAGCTATTAGCGGTTCCTCTATATGTACCATGTATGTACTCACAACTACCACTGGATTACTTTGAAACTGAGGAAAACTTTAACAGCCTCTGCCCTGCTGAAGCTTGTTTAAACATGACACTAGAAACATGAGGGCGCTGGCTGCTCCTGAACCGACCGTGACCTCCGACTCTGCTGAGAGGTGGTAACTGAGAAGAAGAAGAACAATTCCCTTTGTGGGATCAGGAGAGTAGTGCTTCACAACAGTCCTAAAATCAGTCCCACAAAAATACAATAACAACGGACAATGAAAGGGTATCGTCCCCAGTCTCACGGAAACAAAGCAGGTTTGTTCTTGTACCTTTGAAAGCATCCGTGGCTCCTGGAGCAAAGTTCTTGTCGGGGTGAAACTTGAGGGCCAACTTCCTGTACGCCTTCTTCAAATCTTCCTCGCAGGCATTTTTGGTAACACCGAGGATTTCGTAAAAGTCCTTGCAATTCTTTATCCTGCAATAAAAAAAAAAAATTAAAATAAAAAAAAGCGAAACGGATGTCAAAACACAAACCAGAACTATTGCCGTGGTCGGTCTGTTGCTGTGTAACAAAGTGAAAAACACACGTCAAAGAGTCGAGAGTCACCTGAGAACACCCTGCCGCTGCTCCTCGGTGTAGCTCTTCTTCTCCTCACCACCTACGTTACTCGTTTCATTGCTCCGGATGTCCTCGTCTCCCCAGCCGGTCGGCGGTGGGACGTGGTTTGCTTGAGGAGCAGCGGAGTCTCCGTTCCTCACTATAGCATCTATCAGCACTGCAAACAAGAACACAGTGGCTGAGGTCAGCTGACAAGTCAGGTGGAAATGAGGAGAGCCGATGGAGAAAGCTGAAACACGATAGGTATCGGTACCTGTGAATATCACAAATTGGATTAAGTTTAGCGGCTATCAAAATGTATATGGTCGACCATTAACATACACGTTAATGACAAATTAAAAAGTATTATAGTAGGGCCTCCAGAACAGCTTAAATGCTCATTAACATAGAAACTCTGATGGAGGGATGGACACCATTTTTCTAAAACTTATTTAGTGATGGTGATCCAGTGAAGTTGAAGGCCTAAGTATTTGATACACATACATTTCACACTCAACATTCAGTGATTCCTTATATGTATGTGGAGGCATTTAAAATATACATATATATATACATACATATACATACACACACGAGTAGAGTGATATTAACTGTGCACTGCACATCAAAAGTTAGTCACTCCTTGCACTATATGTGCATACTGCTGTAAAATGGACCCTGTGACATTTAACTGCCTCATGCACGGTGTGTTCAGGGAGCTCCAGGTAATAATCTACCGCAACTCATTTATCCTTGTTATGATGTGCGAGATAAAGCAAAGTCAGATCCAAACACAGCACTGCCTCAGAGTGAACCGCAAAGGGGACAAGGAAGCCCTTAAGAGCCCTTAAACTCAGCATGCAGCCTACACACACATTAAGTATTAAAGCTAGCAGGCTCGCGTTTGTCTCTGCTTCTAAAAATAGCAATTCACTGCACCCAACGTGAAATCTGTGAAATACATGTCCGACTGTTCATACAAAAAGGGGTACGTTGGCTGGTTGGCCAACGTTAGGCTGTCAGGACTGCCATTGCAGAATGTGCGTCAGCTTATTTTACCTCTGGCCCGGGTGCTGGGGTAAATATTCTGGGCTTCATAGAGCAGCTGCAGCGCCCGATCCGTCCGTCCTGACCGTAAACACAGCTTCGCCTTCTCGATCAGCCGGTCGGCCTCTTCTTTGACCATTTTACCGTCACGGGAGTCGTATCGCTGGTCCGGTGGTCGCTGTCTCTAGATGCCTGTCCCCCGTGCAATGTGCGTCAATATATCATATGGCAAAAACAAACAAAAAAAGCGAGCCGTTAGAGCTAACGTTAGGTAGCAACCCGGTTAGCTTCGGTTTCAGACAGCTGCGTAACGTTAGCTCGGGCGCGAGCCTGCAGTCACTCAAAAAAAGTCCTTCGCGCTATTATCCGATCTGCAGACGATGGCGGTTGATGTCAGGCTGCAAACAGGTCTGCAGCTGGGCCATTTTTAAAAGCAAAGCGTCTGAAAGATGCTGTCGGGCTTTTCTTAGCGGTGTGTTAAAGGGCCACCCTGTGGAACTAAACTGGACCTCCTGAGCTGTGATGGACAGGAGGTGGAGGCAGAACGTCATATCCTGTGTAGAAAATAAGGCCCTGGTATTGAGTCATGGGAGATTACTTGTTGGTTGTCTGTTTGTTTGCAAGTTTGGCAATTTTGTCCTTCCTATTGCTTTTCCTGTCAATTACCCAATGGTACCAAGAAACCCCAGCAGGTGTAGAGTGATGCTGCAGCATTCAAGGTCTTTCATTTAAAGGCATACTTACTTGTGGTGCATTCAAGTGCCAATGAGGGAGGGCTAAATACAAAAGTGTTTTTTTATTTTTATTTTTATCCATCAAGTGGTCGATTTCTGCCTTTAACTGCAGTTGCAGAATGAGCAGATAACAGGTATGTTATGGATCCTTTTATCTAACCAACCAATAAAACTGCACATTCAGCAAATATGGATTATGGTAACATTACATAAAATGACAAATTGTAAACGTCTCTGTAACTATTAGATTTAGATGTAACAGACTGTAGTGTAATGCTTTTATAATAAACCTTAAGTGTAGTAAATATTCTTTGTTGGCTACACTGTACACAAGTAAGGCATGTAATTAGTTCTGAGGGGTTGTACCGTGATGTAAGTCACGGTAAAAGTTGCAATTAGCATTAATATATCCGTCAGTGAGTTAGAAACTATGCAACACATTTTTTGTTCATGCATATTTTATTCAAGAGTAAAAAAATGTGATTTGTCCCATAGGGGCATGCTTACAATGTGTGTATCATTTAGGAAGTCAAATGCCAAAACATATTTCCATAGATAATAAAAAATGTTGCAAGATAAAATCCATTATATTTGTTTGTTGAAATATGCATGTAGACCATACAAGAACCAGAAACAGAGGAAGGAAAATAACCATAAGCTAATTTGTAACAATAATAATATCAGCAGTAAATATAACCAGAGTACAATGTTTCCTGTTAAACGCAAGTGCGACACGTGATTTTCTTAGTGTCCGATTCATTTACATCTGAAAACCATGCTATCATGCTGTGGCAGCCTGAAAGTTGCTTTTCACTGAGATTATAGTCATTCACACTATTGAACATTTTCTGTACATCAGTACAACAGAAAAAAAATAAACACAAGGCTTCGCACCTTAGAAGGGCATCTCTGCATACAATAAATCAATATAAAATTAAATGCAGTGGTAATAAATAACAATAATAATAATAAAAAAATGGACAAAAACAATCAAAGGAAGCCTATTTATAAAATGTATAAAACAAGACAAATAAAACTACAAATGTAATTCAAAAATAAAATAATTCAAGTTTACTATTTGAAACACAACTATCACAATTATAATCTCACGTAACAATTAGGAACTTAATTGCATGCATTGATGCGTTCCATACCATAGATGCTGTGTTAAAAATCACATTCTGTCCATCCTTAATTCACATACCTTTACCATTAAATAGAAAGATGAAATATAAAGTAGAAAAAATCTTAATGTATGAAGGGAAATTCTAGAAATTTATGTGATAGTAAGTGTCGCTTGAGGTTTGGGCTTCACTGGTATCAACTATCCCTAATAATTGATTTTGAAAGAACTTGAATGTTTTAATTTAGTCATTTGGACTTTAGATTTGATGTTTTATGTAGATCACAGTGTGGGTGCACTTTGTCAGTCAAGTTTTTCTCAGGGTGAAATTAGATTAGATTAGAAAACTGGTTGGAAAAACAAGAAACTATATGCAATGTACACAATTTGATGCAATATGGGTGGATTAATAAACCAAATGCCTGGTCTACACTGCGCTCAGATTTAATGAAGGGAGTACTTCTGACAACTTTAAACTAATCCAAAATCAATTTCAGTGAAAAATAAATCACATTTGTTCTCAAATTAAGCATTAATTAATTCAATTCGTTCGGATACAATCTTCAAATCTCTTTCTGGATGGATCTTAGCATGCTTATACGAAATGACACAATGGTCATTGGTTGTGAAATCAAAGATATTTCAAATATATGCATTCACAAATTTGTAGAATTTCCCTCTTCCTCTGACATAGTACTTTGTTTAGCTCTTAGGCATGAAATCTCATTGAATCTGCAGCACAGCAAATTGTGCAATAACTCAAAGGGCGCTAATGTATTCTTTTACTTGCTCTTTAGCAACAATACGGTGAGAAATAATCAGGTAGTGTGCGACAGCAGGTCATGTCCCAAAGTTCAAATTTACTTCTTCTGTTTCCCTCTGTGGTCCAGAAACAGGTGTTAATGCCGCTTTGTTGCCAGTCATAGCGATGCAGAGGAGATGAGAAAAGACTCCTTCAAGTGTATACTTTCCAGAAAGTGTGTGAGGTATAGCTTGATAAAATGCCATGCTTCTTCAACGTTTAATGGAGAGGAAGAAAAAATAATTTAAGGATGGTCTGGATGAAAATATAAACCTTTGAGATTCCATACGGACGTTCATCAAGTTGCATCTTCATATGGGCTAGTGTGCTCCTGTTGGAGGAATTTTCAGATGTTCTGAAGGAATCTTGGTGTTTAATATGTGATAAAATAGTACCTACAATGAAAACAAAGTTTCAAAATGCTCTTTTCATCCCCTCCCTGTCTTCCCTCATCCCCTCCAAGTTACGTCTTGCTAGGAGATGACTGATAATGCGGGGAGGAGAGGAAAGGAGACTATTGAAACGTACCCAAGGACGAGTTTGATGTCAGACTGCAGCGGCTTTAGCACCCTGTCCTCTTTCCCCTCTACAGGATGATGGCATCTTACTACAAGGTAAATAAATCAATTTAATTCTACTGGTAAGATTGCGCTGCACGTTTTAAGAGGTCCACATTTAGCTTTCTTTCTTTCTCACAAAGTGGTGTGACTTTTTAATACAAAACTTGTAGGCAAAACAAGATTCTGTTCCTCGTAAAGTGAAATTGTGAGTGATATATAGCAAACACTTCATAAAACAGTAACATGATTTGTGTGGCATGGATACTGCAATTATGTCTTCTGTCAGGGCCTGTGATGAAGGAGCAGACACTTGTCTGCACTCAGAACAACACAACCCCCCCCCCCCCCACCCACCCACCCCCCATCAATTCAGCCTGTAATTGAACTGAGAAAGGGAACAACAGGCAGAAACAACTTTCTTTCAACCACACTTTCAGTCAAGCTGCAGCCTTCTGGCCTCTCCTTATCCCTGCTCTCTGCTGTGAACCCCC